GGGGGGATGGGTTAGCCTGGTGATGGGTATTAAAGAGGGCACATTCTGCATGGAGCACTGGGTGTTATGCACAAACAATGAATCATGGAACACTACAACAAACACTAATGATGTAATGTATGGTGATTAACATAACAATAAAAAACCCTTAGGATGTAAATCATGGCTTTTCTTTATTTTTGTAAATCAAATTTATAAAATTTAATTTTTAATCAATTCTACATACCTACTAAATAGAAATTTTAATCTTATTTTTTCTAGGATCCCCATTTACCCCTTACCCAAAGATAAAATGAATTAGAGATTAATCCTTATTTATGGTGCTAAAAATTGGATGAGCATAAAGTTTCTGATGGCAACAATCTTTACCTTTGCTCTGATATTGGAATTGCTGAGTACTGGTCCCCATATCTTTTTCTCAGAAACAGCAGTTCTGGGAATGTTCATATATTCCCATCACATGAAGGCTTCCCCACGAACTACAGACACACTAGGCTTCCCCTCTCGCTAATCTTGAGTTTTGTGTATATGAAGAGGTACAAGTCTCTGAAACTTAAATTGATTTCAGTTTTGAGAAATACTCGGATATTCTCACCAGACTTGTGCTATACCAACTCTCACCCTCAAAAACATTTCCTGTTTATCCCTCCTCTGGTGGAGACATGTAATTGCCTCAGAGGTTTTAGAAATCAGTTGCTGACCTCTCTTTCCATGGTACAAGGAAAGAGATGCTAAAATCCATTAGTTTTATTCCCCCTTTAAAAACTTCTGCTGTAATAGTAAAGGAGATGACAAGGTCAGAGGTTTGAGAGAAGTGGCGAGTGTTTTAATAGGTGTTTCAAGTGGGACAAAGTGAGGTCTGAGGGGTTTTAGAGAGATAACCAGGTATTAGTGCATAAATGAAATGAGTGGTAGAGAAATATGATGGCACTCATCAGTTAAGGTGTATTATTTTCTTCAGAAGGGGAGAGACATCAGCTTTCCATAAATTGATGTTTAAATTAATTTTGAAATTCCAATAAAAAAATCCCAAAGGAATTTTTTTCTTCTGTTTACTCTTGACTACCCCCCCAGTATTCAAAAGCCTTAAACTGTTTAGGTTTTGCTATTACTACTGCCTCAAGGTATTTCCACAGCTTGAGTACTCACTATTGTCTTTTGAGTGAAAAATCAAAGGTCATGATTGCAGAGTAGCCTTGCCGACCACCGACCACCTGGTGAAAATTCATTCCTTCAACTGCTCCCAACTCCAGTGTTCTTTACCACATCATTTTCTTTTATTTTCTGCATGGTATTTATCATTATCTAAAATGACTTTTTTCATTTATTTGTCTACTTGGTTATTTTAAAGATAAACCTTTATGTATAGAAGCATTATCTTATTCCCTGCATATCCCAAGTGCTTAGGATAGTGTTTTCCATGCAGTAGGTAATCAATAAATATTTGTTGAAAAAATATAAAATATTAATGGTTCTAATATAAAAAAGTGGTTACAAATCAGCAAGAGAATAAGAACAAAATGGGGGAAAAGGATATAATGAGAAATCCACTATATTGAAAAGGCCAAAATTTTATTTGTTAATTTTAAATAAATGTAAATTGAAACAAGGAATTTTTTTCACTTTAAATTCCTGAGTATTTTGGGCTTTCACAAATCTTGTTTTGTGCAATAGAACTAGACTCAGCAAATACACTTTGCACAAATGCACAATTTTTTTAATCCATGTAGGTAAAAATGTCCACATGGGAAAGAAATAACCTGTAAGATTAAAGGGTAAACAATAATATATTTCCCAGTTATACTGGTTGTATTTCATTTTGATCATTAAATGTTGATTATCATCTAGGTGGGAAATGCTTTGATGGATTTTTATGTTTCCTTGTTGCAGGTACTGTGGCTATAGACTTGCAAGACACAAGCTGTAGATCAACAAGTGGCCCCACCCTGTCTCTTCCTACGGAGGGAAGCAAAGAAATCAGAAGACCTAGCATTGCTCCCGTTTTAGAGGTTGCAGATACATCATCAATTCAAACATGTGATCTTCTAAGTGATCAATCAGAAGATGAAACTACACCAGATGAAGAAATGTCCTCAAACTTAGAGTATGTTTAGATATTCTAAAACAGTTGTAAGATTTACTAGAATTTGTGCTACTATGGGGCGCTAATGTCCTTACCTTTTGTGTATCCTAGAATCAATTCCACATACTTCTACCAGAACACCCTTCCTATTAGCCAGTATTTCCATTACCTACAAAGTATTTTAAGACCTCAAATTTCTGGCTTCAACATATATTTCCAGGATCAGTTTTCTCTAAATTATCTTTTATCCTTAAAGAAGAAAATATATAAATTGGTATTTTCATGATATAGGATACATTTTCATGATTGTGTGTTTTTGTTAATTATATTGTACTTTCTACTTTTAATTTATTTACTTCCATATCCATATTAAAGTTCGGTCATTATTCAATGACATGTAGTGCAGGTTTCCACCATTAAGCTTCCCTTCCTTATCTTAGCGTTCAGAGGTATTTTTCATATGGTATACATCAATAATATTTTGAATGAATGAATACATGAAGTACTAGTTCTCTTTACTATGCTTCCATAATACATAGTGCCAGTGTACATGCTATTAATCACATTTTAGTCTTCAGTAAGGTTTGTTTACTTGTCTTAGTCACATATTATATTGCTATTTTTTGAGGAAAGCACAGTGGTCAGCAGTCTTGATAATAGAGTCTGAAAGAGTTTATTTCCCATGTAAGTTCCACCCTATACTGGTTATGTGCAAGTGACTGATTAAACAATCTGAACCACAGTGTCTATATCTGTAAAGGGGGTATAATTACTGCCTCATAATGTTCAGATGTAGATTAATTGAGATAATGGAGAAGTGATTAGGACACTGCTTTGTGCTGAGTAAGCATTCAATGAATAATAATTACTAGGAGGTGTAGTAATACTAGTAGTAGTAATGGCAGTGGTAACACCATTTAAACACTAGTCCCAATATCTTTCATATAATAGATGTTCAGTTAATGTTGATGTTAACGTTGAATTGAACTAAAATGAACTGAAAGGTAATTGAAACTTAAAAAAAAAATCCTTCTTTTAATCCTTCACACTTTAAAAAAAGTTTTATTACAAGGAAGTTTGATGTTCCTGCAGAACACAATCCACTCTCCAAGAAATCAAGAGTACTCAAATTTATTTGTGAAATATTTGATGGGAACAAGGAGAGGTTTGACTGCCAGTATATTTCTAGAAATGATGTTGTGTGGTGTGATTGAAATTCTTTCTTTACATATCCTTCTGAAAAGATTGAGAGGTGGATTTTTTCTTTTAAGCAAACTGAAAAAGATATTGAAATAATAGTGGAGATTATCAACTTCTAAATTTGCAAAATGTGTACCATCTTATCCTCCTAGCTAATAATGTCTGAAAAACAGTTTAAACTAGGTTTGGGAAATTTCTTGGCTTTGAAGGTAATTTTTACTGAGAAAAGAGTTTTCATATTAGAGGAATTTTGCCTCTACCAAATTTTATTTCTTAATTTTCATTTATGCTGCTTTTTGATAGTCTTATTCTGAAAATTAATATAGTTGTGATGTGCATGCAGGTGGCTACTTTCATAAAGTCAGCAAATAATTATCTTTGATAATATTTTAAGCATGTTTCCATCAATATTCTGTTTTTGGTGGGTGTTTGAATAATTAACTGTTTACTCCTTTGTGGTTATGCATTCATGACTAATGAATATTAATGGAGTAAATCATAATAAGTCATTTTGCTTTAAATGTGTTTTATAAAAATTAATATTGCAGTTTAAAAAAATCTTTCTCAATCTTTTAAACCAAGGAATGGCAAACTTTTCCTAAAAGGAACCAGCTAATAAATATTTTAGACTTTACGGTCCATATAATCTTTGCTGCACCAATCCAACTATTTTTGAAGCACCCATAGACAATACGTAAAACGAATGAGCATGGCTGTGTTCTAAAAAAACTTCATTATGGATATTTAAATTTTAATTTCATGTAATTTTTATGTGACATGAAATATTCTTCTTCTTTTGTTTTTTTCCAATTAAAAATGTTTTTCCGAACATTTAAAATAAAAAAAAACAAAAAAAGGTTTAATTCACAAAACCAGCTGATAGGCTAGATTTGGTCCGTGGGTCCTAGTTTGCTTATCCCTATTCTTAACTATTTCTTTTTTTTAAAAAGATTTTATTTATTTATTTATTTATTTATTTATTTATTTAACAGAGAGAGAGAGAGAGAGCATAAGTAGGCAGAGTGGCAGACAGGGGGAGAGGGAGAAGCAGGCTCTCCACTGAGCAGGGAGCCCGATGCGGGGCTCGATTCCAGGACCCTGGGATCATGACCTGAGCCGAAGGCAGCCGCTTAACCAACTGAGCCACCCAGGCACCCCTTTTAACTATTTTTTTATCAAAATATAATTGCAACATAAAGAGTTGCACCTAATTTTATAAAAATAGAGACACATGGCTATAACTTAATTGTCCAACTATGTGTGCTTTATTCAAGGTAACTCAAATATTTCATATTGTTTTACAGATATGCTAAAGGCTACCCACCTTACTCTCCATATATAGGAAGTTCACCCACTTTTTGTCATCTCCTTCATGAAAAAGTGCCATTTTGCTGCTTAAGACTAGACAAGGTAAGCAATTGTTGTTTTTTCCAAAACCGAAATTATGGCATTTTGTAATTACATATATTTAAATAATTCTGTATAGGCTTTTGACTAGAATATGTTTAAAGACCATTATCTTTTCAAATGTAAATACAATACATAAAATGGTGAATTGTACTTTCTTAACTGTACTAAAGATTACCCAAACGCTTTACCCTTCTACTAAAGTACCCGATTAGTCAGTCGGTCATGTTTTTAAAGAGGAAATCAAAGGTGCCAGAACCTCAAACCTATGCACTCTCAACATCGAGAGTCTCTCAAAATCACTTTGGCCAATTGTGCACTATTTATTTTGCAAGGCATTTTTGCCTCAGAACTTAATGTGGAATTGCTCAGCATGGTGAAATGAGCTTGTCTATGTGTTAGCCACAAAGATTCATTATTGACTAGACTGAAAGCTAGCATCAGTGTTGTGATTTTTATCTCCTTTCCTAAAGATTTTATTGCAGCTCTTGATTCTTGCTCAGATGTTCTAAAGGAGCCATTCAAAACAGAAAGATTACAAGAATGCAAACATTTTTAAATCTCTTTCCCAAGATGGCCACTGGGCATGATCAGTATAAGAGCTTGTTCTCTTGATGAATAAGAAAGCAGATAAAAAGAAGATTCTCAAATCCTCCACCTCCCAGAAATTAAAATGTGCTGCTAATTCTAACCAGGAATTTATTCTTTTACTCTAAATTTTGGAGTTAACAAGAGTTAAAATCCCAGCTCTCTGCTTACAGACTTCGCAATTTGGGTAAATAACTTCGCCATTACATTTCAGTTTCCATATCTGTAAAATGGTTGTAATTTTAATATGAGCCTCATCAGGTTCTTGTGAGAATTCTGTGAATTAGCGCAAGCAAAATGCTTAACACAGGCCAGGAAGTTAATAAATGAGTAGGCACCTAATGCGTTCTGTTAGTATTCTTGCTACTATTACTTTTTTATAAAAATAAACATCATGAAGCCTGGCTGTTACTGTCACTCTTGAGGAAGAATAGCGGAACATTAGAAAATCTTTGCCATTGCTCCCAAAGATTCCTCTGTGTCCATTAAGCTGGACAGTTCCATCTTTCAATGCCTTTTTTTTTTTTTTTTTGGCCCTTGTTTTAATTTACTGTCTGCAGTATTTGTTACTGCTGACTAGCTGTGTATTTTTGGTAACATTAATAAATCTTAAGCTTCAGGATTCCTTCACCTGGATTTGCCTCTTCTAAGAACATGTGATTTATTTTTTAAAATTTATAATATTTGTGTTATTTTCCTTAAAGAGGATTCCCCAAGGCCCCACAAAACCTGGATTCACTTCTGGTAACATTTTTTTTTTTTTTCTTATCAGAGAGAGAGAGAGAGCAAGAGCAGAGGGAGGGGCAGAGGGAGAAGCAGGCTGCCTATTGAGCAAGGAGCCCGATATGGGACTCAATCCCAGGACCCTGAGATCATGACCTGAGCCAAAGGCAGCTACTTAACAGACTGAGCCACCCAGGTGTCCCTGCATTTTACTTTTTAACACATAGTTCAAGAGAAAAAAACATACTGGGAGATCAAAGAGTGGAAATGATTTATCTCCAAGCAGGGAACCTGATACAATTGAAAAACTAAACTTTCAGAGATAAGGATTGGCGAAGAAACAATAGAGTGTCTTTTAAAGCCAAAGACTCTGAACTGTCTCTCTCTCTCTCTCTTTTTTTTAACCATACTAAGAAGGCAAAGTTTCAGAATGCTGTTGACTGGCTGATGACATCTGGTATTATCCTTTATTTATTTAGCATTGGTGGCTGGAGGTAGTGGTCTGTTATGTAAATGAACGCTTACCTGGCAATCAAGAGATGGGATTAAACAGTCAATCCTACTGCATCTGTGAAGTGTGTGAGTTGGGATTACTTGCCCAGTTCATTCTACAGCAGTATCAAGAAACTGGTTCCTGATCAAGGTTTATCAACACTAAATTCCCTGTTTTCTCCTTGTTTTGTTTTGTTTTTTTTCTTCTAATTACGCTACTTCTGAATCTTCTAAATTAATTCTTTTTCCTCATTTTTCTCATAAATATTGAAGTTCTTAATAATCTCAACATCACTTGTCACTCTTCTCCTTCCATGACCTCTTTGTGAGTAACCTTTTTCATTCCCTCATGTGGTTGTGGATCCTACTTACATTAGTAAATCTCCAGTCATACTTCCAATGAAGACTTACTCTTTCCTTTTTAAAAAATCATTTCCCCTTTTCTTCATTCTTTTTTTTATGTCTTAAGCATTCTGGATTCATTTTCCTACTGACTACAACTTTTGAAATTCTCTTACTAAAGTCCTATTAGTGTTAAATTCTGTCAATTTCAGTTTTCCTAGAAATGTCCTTATTCTTGAAAGACAGTTTTGTTGGGTGTCCAGTTCCAGGATGAGTTTTCTTTTTCTTTTAGCACATTAGAATTTTGTTTACTGCTTTATGGGTTCCATGTTGCTATTGAATGGTTGGCCATCATTCTAGTTTGTATTCTCTGTGGGTGGTCTCTCTTTTCTGTCTGGATCTTTTTAAGATCTGATTGATTGTCTGGTTGTTTTGCACTTTTATTACCATGCATATGAAGCTGGATTTTTATTTATTTCCTTGAATTAGGATTCACTGGAGGTCCAGAACCTGAGGACTTGAGTATTTCATTAATTCTAGAAAATCCTTAGTTAATATTTACTCGAATAGGGCTTCTTTCTGATACTTTCATCTCGTTTTCAGGTATTCTGTTTAAATATATGTTAGACATTGTCATACTACCTTCCAAGTATCTTAATTTTACCACACTACTTTATATCTCTTTTCTTCTCACATTCTGAGTAATTACATCAACTCTGTCTTGCAGTTGACCCCTTCACATGCATCAAATGTGCAATCTAACCCATTGTTTGAGTTTTTATTTTTAATTGTTATACTTTTTAGTTCTAGAATATGTATTTCTTTTAACATCTACCTGAATATTTTAAGTAGCCTCTTGTTCTTTGTTCATACTTTAAATGTTCTTTATTTCTTTAAACATAGTAAACACGTTCATTTTTTCTGTTCTGAATCTAATAACAACAAAATCTGTAGTCTTTGTGAGTCTAATTCTATTGTTTATTGTTTCTGCTGACTCATGGTGCCTTGTTCCCAACAGCATTTTGTAATTTTTTTATTAAAGATAAAAAGTAGAGAATATTCCAGAATAGGTGATGAATCCACAAAGAATCAACTAATCCCAACCCAAATAAACAGAAACCCACAGAGAGGCCTAGAAAGATAAAAGAGCAGAACACTAATACGATTCTCCATGCAGATAATTTAGTTTAAAAGAATTTGGTTTAATAACGTTAAGTCCAGTAAGTACTAGCTCTCTAGAAAATAGCAAAATACCCTCAAGATAACAATGAGTTTTGATAATGTATTGTTACTGTTTTGTTGTTATTATTAGTATTGGTATTTTATTTTTGTGTATTTCTATTATTATCTTGCCAGCTCAGGTATACATTTAGACAACTAGTGTTTTCTTTTTTTGTTTTTTAACAACAAAGAAATCTTTCTTGGTATCCATCCCTTTAGATGTTCAGTACTTGGAATGTTCCAAGGTCATTTAATTATAATATTATTATATTTCTGGAAATGAAAGTCAGAGGTAGATTTTTTCCAGCTTTCTTGAGGTATGATTGACAAATAAAAATTGTATATATTTAAAATATATAACATGATTTTTTTGATATACATATACATTATGGTAATTTTTAAATATAGATACCCAGATGTCATCTAGCAATATGTTTTAGTTTACAGTAGAACATGTTCACACACATATTTCTGACTTCTTCTTCCCCCATATTAAGCTACACACTTAAAATTCATTTGTCTTGTCCATGCACACCTTCACTTCCTGAAGCAGGCTGGAGAACTGGGCATAGAAAAATGTAACTAACTATTTTCAAATTTGTTATAAAATAAAGGATTTACTAGGTTAGATTAATTTTACTTTTCCATATATCCTAAATTTTTTCAGCAAATTTTAGTAGAGTATAAAAATGGCATTTCTTTGTATAATTTTTCTTCTCTAGAGTTGCCAGCATAACTACTATGAGGACGCAAAAGCCTATGGATTCAAAAATAAGCTAATTATAGTTGCAGCTGAAACAGCTGGAAATGGATTGTATAATTTTATTGTTCCTCTCAGGGCATATTATAGACCAAAGAAAGAACTTAATCCCATAGTACTGCTATTGGACAACCCGTAAGTATATTTTAAAATACCCAAACAAGACAAAGAGTTTTTAATATTATATCAAAAATTATTTATTCTAATTTGCTTAGAATATTTTAAATCAGATACATTATGGCACATGATTCATTGGGAGATATATTTTGTGCTATGGTACAAAACAATCATTGAATATGGTTGTTTCACAAATACTCCTTAAAACATCACTGGAACACTCTGAGCTTTTTATTTAAAACTATTTTGCAAGTGGTCATCACTCAGTACCAATGGGAAACATGCCATCGAAATAATTACAGTTATTTTCCTTAAATTAATCAACTAGCCTGGAAATTTTCTGCCAAAACTGGACAATTTTTTTTTTGGTCTTTCTAAAGAACCATTAATTATCAACCAAGCATATTAATGATCCATTCTTATGTGGTACTATGACACATCATCATAACTTAATGTGATTCTTCCACTGTTAAAATATATGTTTTATAACATAATATGAATAATTAATGCTTTACCATGATCACTTATTTTGAAAATGTTGGATTGATACACTCTTGTGAAATAAGACTACTTAAGCATTTAAAAATCCTTGTGCAAATATAAATGTAGGTCATGAATGCAGTGGTCAAACCCATTGTATCCTAAAATTATGATATTCTTCTCTGTGACTCAAATTGGTAGCAGATGGTCCTTAGATCAATACCATATTTTAGGATCCTCCAACTCTCCTCTTAAATTCTAAAGTGATGCAAAATTTCAGGATAAACTAAATGAGGCCAAAATCTGTTGCCTTGTCTCTGCCTTTAAAATTTATCAAAAGAAGTTCTTGAAAACAAAAATATCTTTCCACTATAACTTCATAACATCATTTATAGTGAATATACCAATATCAAGACACTCATTGATGCATCTTTTTTAGCATCATTATTACAATGATAATCAATTCTAAAAGTTGTGAAGACTCTAGAGGTTTCAGTTGAAGCATTTTCAGATATGATGACTCAGTGACTTTCCTGATACCACTTCGGTGTCCAAGGAAAGGTCAGGTAAATTTAGGGCAGGTATGGGGAAGAGAAACTTGGACCCATCGTCAGAAGAAAGAAAAGCTTAATGAAACAAATCTTAGGAGGATGAAAGTTGGGTTGCCGGATGGCTATGGCAATGGAGTGGTTGTGAAACACCTCCAAGGCCTTTGAATCTATCCCTAGTTCTAGAACCTTTCTGGCAAGAAGCTCTAAGGGACTGGCTAAACTGGCACACAAGAAATGCTCAATTGACCCTGTGAATTCTAACGCCATCAGGTTTTGGCTCTTTTTGCTTATGGTGTGTCTGTTCCCTTAAGATAGAATTTAAGGCAGGGGTATTTACAAGTTGATTGTTGATTGCCCTATAGCATCCCCATCTTGTATGTCTTGGATCAGAGTGGATCCTCTGAGCTCCCAGAATACAAAGAGGAAGATAGGAAGAGTCTTGAAAAAGTAGAGCTGTGCTTATAGCATCCCTAAGGTAAAGCAAAGGGTAAAGGCTGACCTTTCCCCTGTTTTACATTGTTTCAAGGTAAATTTCTTGTTCTAATGTGTGAATCTAGTTGGGTTCCTGGACCTAATTTCAACGTGTGTATGTGTTGGTGGGTGATTTCCAACATCCCCAACAAGCATCACTTGAGACACCAGTTGGGAGTCCTACAATTCAAGTTGATCCTGACACTATTACTATCTAGGTTAAGGGTTCAGTCCTACAAGATTGCACCCTTCCCGTCAGAAGCCACTCACAAACTTTAGCTTATATCAACTCTGTTTCTGACTGACCAGCTATAGGTTGGAGGTTCCAGTGGCCCCTTTCTTGGGCTTCAGATGCTACTCACAAGTCCAGGTTGTTTAGCTATATTTCTGACTGACAGACTAGAAATCAGAGTTCCCTACTCAAGTTCCATTAATTTGCTAGAACAGCTCACAGAACTCAGAGAAAAATTTTACCTACCAAATTTCTGGTTTATTTAAAAAGATGTAACCCAGGAACAACCAGAAGGAAGAGACACAAAGGACAAGCTATGGGGAAAGGGCATGGAGTTTTCATGCCCTCTCTAACGGTACCACTATTGCCAAATCTCCACGTGTTCACCAACCCAGAAGCTCCCCAAATTCCTTCCTTTGGGTTTTTATGGAGGGGTCATTACATAGACATAATTAGTTAAATCATTGGCCATTGGTGGTTGAACTCAAACTCCAACCCCTCCCCCCGCTTCAGAAATCAGGGGATGGGACTAAAAGTTCCAACCCTCTATTCATGGTTGGCTCCCCTGGCAACAAGCCCCCAAAAGGGGTGCTTTCCAAAAGTCACCTCATTAACATCAACCCAGTTGTGGCGGAAAGGAGCTTGTTATGAATAACAAGACACCCATTTCACTTTTATGGCTCTGAAGTGATATCAGGAACTGAGGACAAGAGAACAAATATTTTAACAAAAGATGCTCCCATTGTTCTTATCCTCGGGAAATTTCAAGCATTTTGGGAGCTATGACCCAAGAACCATGGATGATCTGAATGTCCAAATATAGATTTCTTATAAATCACAATATTGCACCTCCCAAAAGAATCCATCTCTCCAAATTTTAGAGTGGTGTTCACTTCATGGACTGGAGATAAGCTCTTCTCTTTCTTAATATCTAGTCTTATTAAATAATCCCATCTCAGCATCACTAATAACCCTTTGTCCACCTTATGATCCCATTGAGCAGGTGGCAGGGACTAGCATTCCTTAACATGTGCACCTTATGTAGATTTTTGAATGGCTGTAACTAAATCAGTCCCTTTAGGTTTGGTTCTCAATAAACAGGTTGCCAAAATGCCCAATTATTGATGGATTGGTTGATTGATTGATTTGTAATTTAGAATTATCAAAGCAAGTAGTTGTTTTTATAGTCTTAATTCCTGAATCTGGCCAATCATAGAAAAACCCCAAAATTCTGTTTCTCTTAATTACTGGCAAATTGGTCAGTATTTCTGTGTAAATCTAAATGTAGCTTTTATCGAGAGTATTTTGTTGGAATAACACCATACAGGTCATTTAATAAAAATTCTTTACTTCTACCCTCTGTTCATAATAGTAATAATTGTTGAACATTTACCCTGTCAGTCATCATACTAGACACTTTACCTTTATTTTACATTTTATTCCCCTTAGAAATATATTCACATCATATAGTGATGATTTATCCTAGAGAGATGTAGCAAGCAGCTTAAGATCTCAAAGTTTACAAGTTACAATGATAACATTTAAATAAACCAGCTTATGTTGCTTTGTTACAGTACTCTTATTTTATAACAAGGAAAAACAGACCAAAGAAATTAAATGACTATAGTGATATATATAATTCATAGTGCATTATTCTTTCAACTATATGATCTTGCTTAGTTTACAGATTTTTGATATATGCAAAAAATACATTGTCAATTCTTTTTAGTAACAATATATTTTAACTTTGCATTTTTTGCATTACAAATTTTCTTGCCTTTCTGATGACTTACATTCTGGACTCCAACTATTTCCAGGGTGTTGTTTGTTAGATGATTTATGTAGGGTTTCACTTTTCTTCCAAAGGGTTAGGATGAAAGTACATGTTGTAAAGTTTATTAGCTTCCTGATGACTTCCAGAAAGTGGTATCTACCATTTTTATTTGTTGTCTTCTGTTATTTTGGTCAAGAATGAGGAGACAAAAACTAAACACTAATAAATAATGTTCCAGGAAGTTTTATGCAATCATTTTTTTAAAGAATGAGATTCATCCTGCTGTGCTATGACTAGTATTTTGCAATGTATCCTACAGGGTTACAAAGAAATGTGTTGCTTTCTTCTTCAAATTTTTCCATGTTATAAGAATTTATACACTAAAGATTGTGCACACTTTTACAATGATTAGTGGGTTTTGATTTTGTTTTAAATTTACATGAGAATTGCTGAAAATAAAAATATTCAATACATGACTAGGAAGTTTAGTTGAAAGACCAATTAATTTAATATAACAAATAAATAATAACAGATGTCATAAATAGGAATTTAAAAATGCAAATTAAATTGACAATATTCACAAACATAATATGTCAAAGTAAGTGTTCATAATGTTTCCAAATAGAAAGCCTTCTAGATCTCATCGGGTAACTAAATGGAACCCAGTCACAATGGAAAACATTTTGCACTTGATACTGGCTCATGAGGGGTGGTCTCGGTTCTGATTGGATGGCCATCTGTTTAGTTTGGTCTGTTGTTGTGCCATACTGATTTTAAATATTTTGATTACCACCCTAACCTTAAAGGTCATCTAGTCATCTGATAATATCATTTCATATAAGAGATGGAAACAAAAGTCAAAAGCTTTGGAATATAGTACCCAAAGCTACACAAAGTTGAAGTGCAAGATCCAAGCCTATGTTCCTATTTTTTATATCTTATTTACACAATCCTTTTATTACATCAATCTTCTTTTCATATATAGTGTCAAGTAAACTTCAGCTTATTTGAAAAACAATGATAAATTGTCTGACATATCACAGTCCTTTATTAAAGACATCCAAATTTTGAACTCATACAGATCTGAGATAAGGTCTAAGCTTACTTACCTTCTTGGTAAAAAGTCTTTTTTGCATGTTATCAAATTTCTCTAAGCTTCAGTTTTCTCATATGTAAAATGAGTAGAACATTTATCTTAATGAGTAATGTTGAGACTGTATAAGACAGTGTATATGAAGCACTAGTGCAATATCTCACTTAGAAAAGGCAGTCAGGAAATGTCAATTTCCCCCCTTCCTCCAATCAAGAAAGTGACATTGTCATTATTCAAACTGGTGAGTGGATTTGGGTGAAAACCCAGTTAACAAAAAAAGGAGATTTATTTTAAGCAGTTGAAATGAAACTCCTTATATATTTTTAAGAAATAAACTACTTAAGTATAGAATTATGAAATGCTAACAAAATAAACTGTCTCACTACATTCATTTCTTGAATTTAAAAATCAGCAATTAAGTCCATTATAGTTATTGGTTAAGGGGGAAATAATGATCTTCAACTTTGCAAATCCATGCAAATCCACAAACCTTTTCATTTCCTAACACTAGCTAATTAACATTTGAATATATTGGCAATTTTATAATGAAAACTTTTGTAAGAATATGATGTTTTAGGCTCATAAGCTGTCATCTTTCTTAACACAGTTACAGTTAGGATGGTGATTAATGATGTGCTCAATTTTTTCTATTTACTAACATAAATTTTTGTGCTTGTTGAATTTTTATTTCTTTTATTACTAGTTAGATTCAGCATGTTTCATTTTGGTCTATGCATATTTATTTTGTGCTAGATCTATTTTCCTGTTAGGTTTATCTTTTATTGGTTTGAAATTTTTTTTACATATTAAGCAAATAGGATCTGTAAATTTTGTATAAGTAGCCCATTTTTAAATGTTTGTTTCTTACATGTTAAAATTTTTGTGATGAGCTTTACAGTTAAATATGCAATTATTTTTACTAGTTTTCCATAATGTAATATCTAACATAGATAGGTCTTCTCTATTTAGCAATCAGATTAAAAAATTCATACATTTTATCCTATTGCATTAATGGTTTTATTTTTCTACATTCCATTCTTCAACTGTACTTTGGGGGTGTAACATAAGAAAGGGACATTTCCTATTTTTATTAATGTTTTATGTTTTTGCGTGGTGGTTTTCAATGTAAAGGTTATGCTTGCCAATTAACTTTCAGTAATTAGAAAGATTAGTCTATTAAGAGCTTATGATATCATTTATGTTACTCATTAGTTACTAAGCAGTTTAGTGACATGAACACTATTGCCAATTTATTTAAATGAGCTAACATAATGCATGTAAATGTACAATTGCTGTATTCTTGATAGTTCAAGTTTTGTTATAAACTATCTTTATCGATAGAAGTAGTAGATAAATCTATTTGCTATACAAGTTACATTTTGCAAAAAGTAGGGCACATTAGACTCCTACATTAGATGTGCTTCATCAAGATTATGTATTTGCTAGGTTTCAAGGGTTTGATTTACCTTGTAACAGAGCCGAATCCACGTAAGGATGAACCATGCTATGCAATGAAAATCCTGAAGTAATTTCTGAGGATGTGGAAGATTGCTTGCACATTGTAAATACACATTTGTGGCAGAATTGCATGTGGGTAAAATTCATGAGTTTCCTAAAACAAGGCAATAATATTGATGTCTTAGTAAATTTAGTGATTCATACTGGAAAAGCAACAAAATACAAAGGCCATATTTTCAGTTTTAACTCTAACAGAAGGGTTGGCATAAAGTAAGAACTTAATTTTGTCCTCAGTGACTCCAGTACTATTTATTACACAGATTTTCAGTATCTTTATTTTTTATTTAAAGATTTTATTTATTTATGTGAGAGAGAGAGAGATAGTGAGAGAGAAAGAGCACAAGCAGGGGGGAGAGGGAGAAGCAGGCTTCCCGCCGAGCAGGGAGCCCGATGTGGGGCTCGATCCCAGGACCCTGGGATCATGACCTGAGCCGAAGGCAGACGCTTAACGACTGAGCCACCCAGGCGCCCCTTCAGTATCTTTATTAAGTTGAATTATTCAATAACATCATTTACTCTTGCTTTACTAAGTTTTAGAATACAGAAGATAGCATAAAGAAATTGAAATGATCTGAATTTAAAAGAATGAGTCAGATTAAAAGTGTAGTTATTCCAGCCAGGGAATATATATCTGCAATTAATAATGAAGGATTATGGATCTATCTCTGCCACATAAGTTATTGAGCTACTCACTTTATCTGACTAAAACTATATGGGAGTAAAGCGAGATGAAACAAAATAACAACCGAAAAAAAAAAAAAAAGACACAGGCAAAGTGATTATTCAGATCACCACAAAATCTCTACTGCCCCAGGCTTGTGGCACTTGGCATCCTCGTATGTGTTTCTATAATCACAAGGTAGGGCAAGAGAGTCATAGAGGGTCTTGAATCAGCAGTGAGAATGACACTTCTATTTTTAAGAAGCAGAACAGTGCTCAGACAGAGAACTAGAAGACATTATAAAAACATCGCTACTGGGACTGCTATTTGTTGAAAAGAATATACATCATTAGCTTTAAAGATATTTATCTTCTGTGATTCACTAATATCACTTCTATGACTGTTTTGCAGTAAATGATTAAAAACTAACACTAGAAAAATGTCATTCAAAGATGTTCATACCTGTATTATTTATAATAGCAAGATATTGGAAACAACTTGTAACTTCAGTAGCATAAAAGTGAAAATAACATACAAACTGAATAATTGAGGAATTTTAAAATGAATTGTGGTACATTTATAATATGTAATAATATGGGCTTTTAAAATGAGTACGAAGAAATTTAATGATGGGAGGAATTGGTCAACATTACAATAGTGGTAGGTATTCTTTGGAAGATCATCTTTTTTCATTTCACTGTATTGTACATTCTTTTTCTGTAGAGTGTAAAGGGCTAAGGGGATGATCAACAAGAAGAAAATAAGTCAGGGAGGAAAAGACTTCATCTAGCTGGGATATTATAGGTGCTACACTTCCCTTTTCCTAGAATTTCCCTCCCCTTCTCTTTTACTGGCAAACATCCAGATTAAACATAACCTCTGTGAAATGACCCCTAATTCTGCCTTCTGAGTGCAACCTAGTGTTTATTTTTTCTGATTAAAACACATATTGTAATTGTGTGCTCTTATACCTGTGTTCCAAAAACTGTATTTCCTATAGTACAAGGTAACACGATATTCTCATATGCCTTAGTATACTGAATTGTCTATTAAATAAAAAGTTTTGGATACATATATGCTGAGTGAATAAATGCATGAAAGAGTTAATAACTTTATAAAATGAATAGAATAGATTAAGTGATTTTTTAAGGAAGCATCCAGGTTTATGATGCTTTCCTCAAATATGCATATAAGTAAAGATTTCAGTAAATATTTGCCCAACAATATATATGGAGTAAGTCAATTATTTGAAAAGTGAATTACTTTCATTTTAATTTTCTTTAATACATGTGTTGCATGGGTGCATATACCCTATTTATTGATTGATATACTGGTATAATAAAGGTTGTATTTAAATGTGTATGTTCCTTAGAGAAAGGTGCTCTTGATAAGCATGTTCTCTATGCTTTGGGCCATCTAGGAAAAAATCATTAATTTCTCATTTTATTCTGCATGAATAATTTTTAAACTCATTGATAAAACTTTTTAGTTATAATTAAGAATATCATTTCAGTATTTTTGTAGAATAATGCCATAATGTTTCTGATTTAGAAAGCAGAAATACAAGTTTTTATAATTCTGAGTGCATTGTGTATTCATAACTAGTACAAATGATATTTCCTAATTAATGTTAAGAAAAAAGGCACTTTGTCAATCTTGTCAAATGGTGTTTAGTTTTGGAAATGCAAACTAAGTCAACTTACTTCCTTTCCCTAGAAGCGCTGCCAGTGTTGTGACATTGTGTTTCATTTTGTAACCCATCTGCTACTTAGGCCAGATATGCATTTTCTGGATGCAATCTGTTGGTTTCCAATGGTTTACTACATGGTGGGCTCTATTGACAAGTAGGTGACAAAATCTTTGGCACACTAACTAGTGTGGTGTCCTGTGGTTTGTCATGTGCTGTGCCCCCGTGTTGCATGATGAGTGTAATTTGCCATTTCCGTATTGCAAATATGGTGTATTTTGCATGCAGAGCTTATGTTCTCGTGTTATACATCCTGTATTCAAACTTCCTAAGCAGTAATCTGTTGTTGAATTAAAACAAATCTTGCTGCATGTCAATTTTATCACTTTTGTTTAGTTTCTAAAGCTATTTCAGTTTTGTGTTGTCTCTAGCAATAACGTTATTACTATGGGCCTAGGGGTAGAAAAAAATCTAACTGTTCAATGTTGTGATGCATTGATATCATTGTGGTAACTTCTGGAAATCTTCAAATAATTTAGAGATGCTCCTTTTAAGCCAGATTTATAAACTGGAGCATTTCCTTAAGAGCTTCCTTTATTCTGGTAACATATATCAGTCTATAATTTCTAAAAATTTGTTAATTAAAAAGTCAAATGTGTGCAATGTGTTAGTATTAAAATACAAATTATTTTATAAGGATGAACATGATTTATAAGAAATATAAAACTAAAGATCATAAAACTAATATGCCTATAAAATGTGCTAGATTTCCATTAAAAAAAGTCAACCAGAGCCTTCAAAACAAAAAGCTAAAGTTTCTAATTAAGAAATTTCATGCTTATGTTTTGTCCTGTAGATTGAAAAAACAAAGTTTTAGAACTTTGGAAGTGTTTATTGGCTGTGGATACATTAAAGAGCAAACTGACTAACATTTATTTAACCTCTACTCTACATTAATATAGTTTGCATTATCAGTTTTCTTAATGCTAATCAACTAAGATGTAGTTAGATGTACTAAAATAACTATTTAAATTCATAAATGTGAAATCAACCTATATTCTTCACTAGTAATGTTACTTTGAAATGATAGTATTCTATTGAAATTCATTAGAAAAACGGAATATTTAAAAAATAAATAAACCTCCCATCTGTCTTTGCTGATGTAAACTATGAAATGAATTCTTTCTCTCTAAGAGTGTTTATGGTGAGGAAAAGAACCAAGAGTATCAAATTCCTATGATTAAAGGTGACACAGGATTGGCAACAAGTTGATCATTATTGAAGCTGGGTGGGGTAATTAGAATATGGAGGTTCACTGTGTTCCTCTCTTTTGTTAGTGTTTGAAATTTTCATTAAAAAACCAAAAACACCTTTGAATGAATTAAAACACTCACAAACTGTTCCATATATTCATACATTCACATTATAGTTCTCCTTGAAAAGGACGGTTTGGGAAACAGTAAAAAGGAAGTTGTTGCCATTTAGATTATCTTTTTTCATTAATATTGTCTTTTTTCTTAGGCGGCCATCTGGTGGCCAAACTATATAAAGCAACTGTGCTGAATTAAAAAAAATAGGCAGTGGCTTCGGAAATAGGATTCTGTAGAGAAATCACGACAGACGTGGCATTATAAGAATTGGTAGCTAGATTAAAAAAAGGAAAAAAAGAATAAAATGTAGTATTAAATGGATATAAAAATAAATAATTTAAGGTTAAAACCTGAAGAACAAAATGTTTCTACATGGTTCTGAAATGCCATTCCAATTTTATTTATTTTTTATAGATTTAAACTCATATTTAATCATAATTACTAAAATCACTTGCCAAGTTTATATGTAAACTACAACAGCCAATATTTAGAGTATGGAATTAACTGATACATATAGATGTAGCTATTAGCTATTTAGCACAGGTACACAGTGAAATTTTTTGTCAAGTTTCAACTTCATTGATTTATTATTGATGAAATATTCATTTTTCCCATCATAACTTGTATCTATATATCCTTTAACAATCAAACTTACCTTCTATCACCTTATCTTTCCCTTTTCTTATATAGAGAATTATAATGGAGAGATCATTGTTATTGGGGGGAAGATCATAAGAGCTGAAATAGAAAGTGATTTAAAATTATAGTAAGGTGGATTGAAGGCATATGACTTGGGCATCATTTTTATGGCCCATAAGGGAGCATATCACATTAATTTTCCCCCTACTTCTTTTTTAAAAAAATGTATTTTGATATAAGAACAATTATGAATTTCCAAGTTAAAAGAAACATCCTAATAAAGTATTTCTAGGGATTAAACTTGATCATCATATTAATTGGAAATTATGGCCCTGGCCCCTCTCACCATAGGAAATTTATTTGGAGTAACATTCTGTTTCCACAGTTTTAGACATAAAATCTCTGCCACAGAACATTATTTCTGAGTCAAGCAAAATATTTTTTTTTTTTTTTTTTCTGGACTACTCCTGGGGATCTTGGACTCAGAGCTTTGGTAACACTCTCTCACTCGATGTGGCTAGTTCAGCCAATCATATGCTTGGAAAAAGATCCTCAGGGAACTGACCTGCAATTTAAGAATCTAAAAGAACTACTGTTATTTTTTTTTAAGATTTTATTTACTTATTTGAGAGAGAGAGAATGGGAGATAGAGAGCACGAGAGGGAAGAGGGTCAGAGGGAGAAGCAGACTCCCCGCCGAGCAGGGAGCCCGATGTGGGACTCGATCCGGGGACTCCAGAATGATGACCTGAGCCGAAGGCAGTTACTTAACCAACTGAGCCACCCAGGCACCCAAGAACTACTGTTCTTTAAGTTCTCCACTTCCTATTTTAAATCAGAACATGTGGACATCAATTAGCCCAATTCTCTGTCTTCAGTCAGCTCTGTACTTAGGACATTCTTATACTCCTTCAAGTTTAGTCTCCTTTATCTGATTCAGTTATATTTTTCTAGTTTTATGAAGCAGAGTCAGGGAGATAGTGGTTTCTTTGTTTCAGCTTTAATGGCAACATTTTTCTTTTAATTCGATGGGAGAACGATAGTGTTTATCAGTGATAAGGGAGAAGACTATTATAATTCATAAGAACTTCTATCCTGGTTTAGCGGTTATTTCACGCAATCAAAGAAATGAGGTTATTAAATCACTGGCTCAAAAAACTTTAGGCTCACTGAATGGTAAGTTTGAATACAGCTGATATTTATATATTTTTCATGCTCGTGGCTGTGTAGAACCAATCTTTAACACATAGCTTTACACAACAAAATAATACACATTTAAAAATAAACCACAGTTTAATATTTCTTTGTTGGGCTAGACCATCTAAATTAATATAAGTACTTATTTCTACTCTTACCAAAAGTATTATAGGGATTAAAAAAATATATATAAATGTCATGTCTTTGAAATAGTGTGCTAACCATAAAAACACAGTTCTAACATGCTTTAACTCTGTTTGATTGCAAAATGGGTGTTTTTCATGTTTTAGTTATAATTAATAAATATTAAATAAAAATTCTTAACGCATAATGCTTTGAAACGGTTGAGATCTAATGCTCGAAAATACAAATTATTTCATATCAGTGGAGAATACTATATTTTAATTCCCATCAACATCTATCTACCAGGGCAAACTGTGTGAAAGCCATCTCTAAGGGCAGCCTGTACAAGTGCAGTGGGTAAGCAAGAACTGATCCTAGTATGGTGATTTATTGAAAGTCCATTCTTCTCTGTTGATTTTTATCAAAGCCTAGATGATTTACTCAGGTGTGGAGTGACTTTTGCTGCCAACATGGTGGTTGTGGACAAAGAGAGTACCATGAGTGCGGAGGAAGACTACATGGCAGACGCCAAAACGATTGTAAATGTGCAGACCCTTTTCAGGTAAATGTCTCAGTAACTCAGCCTTGTGGCTTACCTACTACTAAATATTGGTGAAATATTTGACTCTGACTCTGTATATAAGGAATGAACATGAGACACTTACACTGAAGCTATATTCATTCATTTGATCCTAAAACAAGTGCTTATTTAGCCTCCAATACTGGCACTGTATGGTTAATTTTTAACTCAGGGTCATTCTTTTAAAAATAAATAGAATAACAAATCTGTTTTCTGATATAGTTTAACAATAACAAATTCTAAATCCTGTGCAGTTGCAGTCAAGATTTATGAGAGACCATGCATGATCTAATTTTGGTTTTATGCCTGGCAGTGGCCAAAAATATGCATTTACAATCTGGATTACTAAGAATGAAATATTGTAAGACTGTGAACAGGTAATCTACCCATGTTCGGAGCCAAGTCATGACCTTATCCTCACTATTTTCCTGTCTTTCATCAATTAAACTTACTGAGATAGGAATTTCCATTATGCTTATCTTTGGGTAAGAATGAAAACCAAAGAAAAGTCCATGCTATAAGCAAAGACAAACTTACCTATAAATGAAGACATCTCTGTCATTTGAAGTGGTTCTTTCTGAAATTATTTTAAAATGCAAATATCTGAAAGATCATTATTTTAGTTTTCTGAGTTTTGTGGAAGTCTAAAGGAAATATCTGAGCTACCAAATTATGGAAGTAAATAAAACAATCTGAACGCCTTCATCATCTCCCCTTGCTCCACCTTTGTACCATCATATTGTAGCAAAGCATATATTGAGGGTAATTATCAGTTTGTTGTTTGAGTTCAGAATTCAGAAGAGAAAGCTTAGATGTGAGTACCACTTAAGTTGATTATTTATTATATGATTTTAGGCAAATGACTTTCCTTCTCTAAACCTCAATGTCTTAATCACAAGGTTGTTTGGGATTTAAAAGTATATAATGCTGTAGCACATGGCTGGTCATTTTCAGTTACTCAATGAATGTTAGTGACTAATTTTTAGCACTATCATGATCACTTTCATGTGACAGAATAGAAAAACCACAGACTTTGGAACAGGATAGCAACAAACTTCATCTGGCACCTCTATCCCCGAGGTTCCAGCAGACACTATGTGACTTTAAATATGTTTCTTAACCTCACAGAAATTCAGTTTCCCTCATCTATAAAATGCATGTGGAAAATAATTAACCCTTCTTGTGGTGTTAATGTAAGGACCAGAAATTAAGTAGGTGAAGAATCTGTCACAGCATCTGGAAAATTTACTCTGAACTTGCATAAGAACCTCTTATTCCAGAAGAAGAAAAATGTGCCCTCTAAAGTTACTGTAATGTGGCCATTCATTTAGAATATAGCTAACTAGTTATTGAGCTAAATGAAATAGTACATTTAAAGGTCACATAGCACATGTTTAAAATATGACAGACATGTAAGTAATTTTTTTTCTCTAGAGAATGAAAAAAGAAATTATAAGTGGAAAATTAATTTAATTCAAAGGGATGAGATTTATAGCCAGTGAACAAAGTGAAATCATACTTTTTGGTTCCATGCATGACAAAAGCTAGTTACATTTTTAACAAGAGAGGATTCCAGGTCTGTTTGATTAAACATACCATTTTAATTTTCAACTTATCATGAGTTTATTTCTATTATGGTTTATTTTTTATTATGGTAAAGTTTAAATTGATTTGACTTGGCTTTTATTATATAGTCTATGAATGAGTTATTTTGATTTCAAGATAATAATAAATAAATAATAATAAATCCCCATCTTACTGAAAGGTGCAAAGGCTCTAATCTTTTAAAACTAACTGACCAGAATAACTAAGAGCTGATACATGTGTGGTTATGCATTCATCATTTCACTAAGTACATAACAATATTTTTCAGGAAAAAAAAATTCTATGAAACTTTTTAATAGAATAGTCCTTAAGCTGCTGGTCAGTGCATGCTAAACTAGGCTAGTCTTACATAATAAAGTAAAAAAGTAAGACACTGATAGATCCCCATGATATACGAAATGTTCTTTATATAGACAAATGACCAAAATCATGCAGATTTGGTTGTTTCATTTTATAGGTGCAGTCAGTTACCACTTTTGAGGTCACATTCCCACATTCCTTGAATATTTTGGTTCCTGATTCACTGTGACTCTTGACAACCCTGTATCTACCATCATTCTTGATGATTTCAATAATTCTATGTAGACAATTCTTTCAATATCTTACCTTATAGCCACCTGTTCTGGTCATAGCCTTTCCCTTGAAATACCAATAATCCCCTCCATTGTCTCGATTTCATTCAGGTCTATGAGTACTACTGTTTATTTTCTACTTCATTTCTTCTAATAACCCCAATTCTTAACAATCCTGTGTCTCCACTGGAACCTACTATCCACTGGTTCAAATACATTTTCACTCTCCTTAGTCACCTGAGAGCTTTTCTTCCCCTCCTTACCAGATTAAGTTCCAAGATCAATCATTATAATCACTCCTGTGCTGAAACCCTAAACAGATAATTACTGATTATCTGCTGTGGACTAATACCGATCTCAACTCTCTTTCCCATTCTCCCTTCCTCCACTCCCAGTTTTCTTTCAGGTTCTCTGCCCACTACCTTGCATGAAATTCCTTACAGACTGATGACTAATTCCAGAGGTAGAATCCAGTTATCCTCATAAGTGAACAATAGGCAACCAGAAATCTAGTCACAGTGGTTGGATACCAGGCTATTTAGGATTAAAGCGGAAGGCTTCATGTCTAAGGGAACATTGAGTGTACAAGAGTGAGGAGTGTTAAAAATGATTAAAGAAGAAAATTTAGATGATACAAATAGACTTTATTTAACACTTCATGAAGTGGGCAGGCTCCATTCCTAAGGGTCCAGAGAGGGTAGGAGTCAGGAAGCTCTTATAGGATAAAGAACAAGGAACAAGAAAGAGAAGAACAGAAAATGAGTAAGGAACAAGGAACAAAGAAATAAGTGTAGAGCCCAGAGTTGGTTTGGCATTTGGGGATTGGCTGACTGGGTATACCTTGTTTCTGGTCAAGCGGAGCATTTACGGGTATCAAATGACAAATCTAAAACGATTTAGTAATGAGTTTGATAGCCTTTATTCAAGGGAACGCAACCTGTGGATTGGAGAAGTACAGTGCCTCACAAGGTGGAACACTTTTCTGGAGAGATTTTGGGCAAGAGCAAGATTTATAGAATGTTAGAAGAGGCACTGTGTAAACAGAGCATGACAGGCTAGGAGGTCAGGCATTTCCTGGTCAGGCTAGTAGGTCCTGTTTTCTAGCATAAGCTGAGCTAGCTAGAGCTGATTTGAGGATTGAGACTAGTGTATATTAGGTTTCCTTAATAGGTATTTACTGTAAACACATGGGATTTAAGTTTAGATTTGTGATGTGGGCCAGGGCACTGAGGCAGCCTCCGTTTTGTGGGTCCTGATATGCAAATTAATTTTATCACAGAGACACAAAAATTATCTAAGTTTTAGTTTGCTGACATGGCAACCCAGCAGGAGAAGCTCTGTTTTGGGCCTAGAAATTTATTTCAATAATCGTATCTCTAAAATATCACAACTAGTCCTTATATCTTCATGAACAGCATTGATTTCCTCAAAGGAGAACCAAATTCTAATCTGCTTGGCATCTGTACGTATTCAGCAACTTAAGATGACCTTATGCTGTTGCTCTGTATGGGGCGATGCTACATTTTATTTTAGTATTTGTAAAGGACTGTGTAGCTCTTTGGGCCCATGCCATTTTAACTTGAGTATTTTGACATTCCATTTTGCTGTGGGGACATTTTCACTTTTACATTTTCAGCTTTTGAAACGACCTGAGGAATATGTTAGAAAAGTCTTCAATCTGTGCTTGTATTAGAGCCCAGGAGACAAGAATGAGATGGAATTCAAGTATGAAATGAAAGTAACAATGCTCTAATTCACAAGTTATTGGTGTAACTGGTATCACCTGTTTTGCCAGTCTGGAACAAGGTTAAATTTGTTGTTATTCAGAGGCTCAAACTGATAACTTGAACCCCTGCTTTACTAGGACATACAGCTTCACTTGGCGGGCCTTTATTCTTTCCAGATTGTCCAAGAACCTTTCAGAGTTACGCAGTCCCAAAAGACCAAAGGCAAAAATAGGAGAATCTCATTAATTCACTAGCAATATATTTGGGGGTGGGTGTGGGGTTTAGGAAGACTTAGAGGAGAGTTGGGGGCATGGGGAGAATTCCTTTTCATCTGGAATTGTGTTTATAACTTAAATGTAGTTTTAGAATTGAAAACTGGACTACACAGTTCAATGTGTCTTTATCCAGTGTGGCAATTACGGATTTGCTGGCTTGGCCCCTGCATGTTTCTTCCAGAGAATCCACTCAGGAAGTATTTCATTTTCCAGATCCAGGGTAGACAGCTTGGCATACAAAGTTTCAACACTCAAATATTTGATGAGCACTCCTGAAGTTTGTGCAATTTTCCAAATTGAAAAAAAAGCAGGTCCTCACTTTAAAATTTGTTTCTCTTGCTAAAGTTTTACCTGAGAAGTACTTGGTATATTTGAGAATATTGCCTATTTTTACATTTTTATGAACAAGTGTTAATATTTTTATTATTCTCATGGTATGATTGGGCATCTAGTAAGTTTGGGGACTGTACAGGATGCTATCTCTATGGCTGCCATGGTGCCGAAGGCAGACAGAGTGATCAGTAGTGATTAAGGCTTCCTGGCCTTGGGTTGCTGATAGTCTACGCCGGGAACATAGTAAACTAGTCATTTAAAAATTTAACTGGAGAGGGGCACCTGGGCTCATTTGTTAAGCATCTGCCTTCGGCTCAGGTCATGATCCCAGGGACCTGGGATCAAGCCCCTAAATTTAAACAACCATTCCAAAATATGCCTTGAATTAAAAACAACTGCTTCCAAATGGCTATGTCATACTATCAACGTGCTCTACTTTGGGAATGTTTGGCATGTCAACGGCATCTCTCATTATTCTCATTTAACTGGGGAAAAAAGCAACATTGAAGACAACTTACTGGCTCATCCTATCCTATATAGGAAAAAAATAGCTGATGCCAACCAACGGCCTAAGTCTCTGCATCAGGAAAAGGAAAGATGAGAAAACTTTTTCCAGAAGTTGAGAAGCAGAGATTTTTCTAGAGAGCATCCAGGATAGTTAAACATTAGTTTAATACAGAATGGGTACAAATGTAAATACTTGTTAATGTTAAAAGACAAACTAGGGCACATTAAACATTTTAAGAGTTTATCTGAGTAAAAATCAGTTCAAATTTGACAGTGCCAGATAGGAAGTGGTTAGAAACACTCCAAGGACAGGAGTGAGGGACTTACAGAGAAGAGGCAGAAGCAAAGCAAGGAAATTATTTGGCAACAGCTTAAGCTGTTGTATTATTTGAGAAAGCCTAGTTGGACTGTGATTGGTTGTCTTTGGTTTTGATTTCTTATCCTTGAGGCATTTACAGGCTGAGGTGTTGGCTTGCTTAAGTAGCCTGCTAAAGTATTAGGACCTCCTCAGTCTAATGGTCTCTTTATTTAATTGATTTAGCATTGATTTATCTGCATTGTAAAAGTCTAGGAGTGACTTAGTTCAGAAGTCCCTTGGGCTGATTTTGTTTTAATATGAAGATATTTTTGCTTCGCTTTTTTTCCCCCCTAAAATTTAGCTGGTCAAACTGCTAAGATAACTAGTGCTCTGTCAGTGAAAACATTCAGTCAAGTCATGGATCTGTGATCTGTTTGGAACGGAGAAATTCCCGCATTGACCCCGTATAGGTCGGGAGGACCTTTACAAACACCTGCAGTTGTGCTTTATTCATATGGTATGATTGGGCATCTAGTAAGTTTGGGGACTGTACAGGATGCTATCTCTATGGCTGCCATGGTGCCGAAGGCAGACAGAGTGATCAGTAGTGATTAAGGCTTCCTGGCCTTGGGTTGCTGATAGTCTACGCCGGGAACATAGTAAACTAGTCATTTAAAAATTTAACTGGAGAGGGGCACCTGGGCTCATTTGTTAAGCATCTGCCTTCGGCTCAGGTCATGATCCCAGGGACCTGGGATCAAGCCCCGTATTGGGCTCCCTGCTCAGTGGGAAGCCTGCTTCTCCCTCTCTCACTCCCCCTGCTTGTGTTCCCTCTTTCGCTGTCTCTGTCAAATAAATAAATAAAATCTTTAAAAAAAATATTTAACTGGAGAATGAGAAGTGTGGCAACTACTGAAAAAAAAGTAGAATGTTATATAGATCCAGACAACAAGAATAAATGATCTCCTCCAGGGATCAAGGAACACCTCCCTGAGAAATTGATAATCTGTTCCCTGCAAGATAGACGAAGCGGGCAAAGAGAAGAGGAGAGCATTCCACAAGGGGGCAGCATAGCCAAAGGCTCTGAGGTGATGGCTTTGCAGAGCTTTGTAACAAGTTGATCTTCATTACAGGAATAGAGTTTTAAAATATTGTTTTCGCTACAATGTGAAAAGTGGTTTGGGGGCAAAGTAAGAGCTGGGAGAGCTGCTCATTTAGAAGACTTGCATCCCCAGGACGCTAAGGGCATAAATGGCAAGCTAAAAAAATAAAAAATAAAAAAGGGAATATTGTCTTCAGCTTGGCACAAGTAGTCATAGTCTCATTGAGGAAATAACATACCTATACACATGGAAAATGACATAATTGAAAACACTGATAATGCATATGTATAAATACGAGAATGATTCCTTTATATAGTACAAAAATATTTTTTATTATTTTGATTGGTTTACATGGATAAATTTAAATACAGGAGATATCTGATATTTATTATAGTCTCATTTATTACTAACTTGGACTCAGACCTAAAGTGTTTAAAAAGTATTTGTAAAAAAATATATTCATATTTATTTTTGTGTTGATAGTCAGTTGTAGTCTAAAACCAGTGTTTCATGTATCTAAGTGTATGTGTGTACCTATATATTAATATACATTAATTAATTACTCAGAAACATCATTCCCAACCACCACAACAGATCAAAACTTATAGTGTAGCACACTAGCTTAGTATTTTATTAAAATATTGTAAACATTTTCCAGATTTGTATGTACTTACGTTTGTTTTGCTTGAATATATAATTGCAGCCAGTCTCAGAGTTCTCCCAGTGGTCTGGGAAATAGAGTATATGGTGTGTTTTTCATCTCCGTATTGGTTAGCACAACTGGGCATGTCTGTCAAAATACTTTTTGAATAAATTAATTCAGGCAGAGAACTATTCCATAGAGATTTTGCACATCTCCACAATGATACTTACATCTCTCAATCAGAACATAAATTAATTGTAGAAAAGTTTTAAATAGAAAAAACCATATTATTTTTCAACTATAATATTGCTTTATTATGATCCTCATACCTGGGTAAGATAGACTTTTTATGTCATTTTATTTCTAGAATATCTTATATTCAGAATGTGTTTTAAGCCATATTAAGGCCCAGAAATAGATTTATAGTTTAGTATTTTAAAGATATATAATTAAATCTATTTCAGAACCAAATTTATAAATGTATTATAATTGAATGTAAGTAATACTTTGTAGATATAAAAGGCAATGCTATAAAACATTTCATTATTTATGCATTATTTAGTTATAGATTTTCACTAGATGGCAGACTTAGATAATGCGTTCACTTTCTCAGTTTAAAATAACAATGGTATAGGTTCATTTATATAGAACAGAAATGGTACATCATATACACTTTTTTTTTTTTTTTGGTTCTATCTAATTTCCACTCTATAAGTCATTTAAGTACAATGACCAGGTCACTCAGTCATATTACCACTCACTCTTACTCAGACCTCAAATATATAGCTATATATATAATGTGATATAATGTGTTAGAAAAGGATTATATCATCCAAGTAATCATAAATGTATCCAAAGTTAGAATAATAATATCTATGAAAGATAAAATCTATATTTCTTAGAGAAAATGAAAATTTCCCAAAAGATGAAATAAATTTTTGTTGGTTTGCAACTATGTTTTTCTCACAAATTACTTTTCTGGCCTTATATCACAACACTGTCCTAGATGCTTCTCATAAGCTATCTATTCACTGGTGTCTTAATGCTACATAATCTGTGAAGACAGTCAGCCATATTTATCACCCCTAGAAAAATATGTACAGCCTTATAATTTATAAATTTTTGTAGTTCCCTCTAGGTAGTAGGGTCAAATTTAAAGGCAAAAATTTCACTTTATACTTCTTTTTATGTCCTGGAGATCAGAGCTGTCCAATAACAAACACTTGATTATTACTTGTTAACTTAGATATTAAATATTGCCCTAAGTAAATAAAAATAACAATAATGAAGTTATGATCTGACAACTACTATCATGTGTGTATGTGTGCACGTGTGTGTGTGTGTGTGTTTGTGTGTGTTTCGGGGGAAGGAAGTGAATAGGAAGAAAGCTAATGCAAAGCTATGGGGTTAAAACTCGGGATCCTTTAGAATAACACTATCAGTTGAGCCTTGGCCTCAATTCATTATAATGAAATGTTATTTCAGCTGAACTATTTTCTCTTCTCAGAAGTTCATGGTAGCAAGATTTGACATTTAAAATTGCATACTCTGAGAATAGGGAATCTTAGAGGATCAAAGAACTCATATTATGGGCAATAAGCTCATCACATGAAATCTTTGTCAATCAGCATATTCATCTTACAAATTTCTATTTTAACATTATCCACAAAGTCACCTTGTAACTTCTTATATCAGCTTCATGAGTTTCTCTTCTATGCCATTTCATAATTGTAGAGAGAAGTGTCTAATAAAAGCCAAATTACTAAATTTATTTTTCTTATAGTGCCAAAATGTTGGTTAAAATATTCTTTGGAAAATAGTGTTCCATTTTGCTTGCATTGTATGGACAGTTTATGTGGCAATGCCTGCTGCTGTTAGTGTAATACAAATTTTTTTTGTGTGTGTGTGTGTTTTAACGTAGGTTGTTTTCCAGTCTCAGTATTATCACAGAACTTACTCACCCAGCCAACATGAGATTCATGCAATTCAGAGCCAAAGACTGTTACTCTCTTGCTCTTTCAAAACTGGAAAAGGTAAGACTTCATATTAAGGAAGTTGCATTTAACTACTTCTCCTGAAAGAGTAACTCTGAAATTCCTATATGTAGAAAGAAATGCTATGAGGTAGTAAAAATAAAAATGCTGTTTGAATTCTTATTTTGGATCTAAAATCTTAGTTTACAATTTCTTAATGTAAATCGATGGATTTGAACCATTTGTATCACAAGTGAACATAATGAAAATATCTTGTTCTCTTGTCATTTATTATAAATTGAAAGCATGATCTATGAAAGAGTTAAATGCAACAAGAATGCATATACTCATAATGTCAGTTATATTGTTAATATCATGAGTGCTATATCAAGAAATCTGTGTTTATAGAGGGTTTTGCAGTTTAAAATAATCCTTAAGGTCCTAGAAAAGTTGTAGGCTTTGTTGAAAGTTAGCTTCCCAAATGTCACCAACACAATCTGAGACAAAGCTGAGTTAATTGCTTACTTATTTAAGGGAGACCATCACCTCAGGAGAGCTTTGGCAATGCTTCAGAATTGGGGAAGCAAGGTCAAAGTTTCTTGAGTATAGGAAATCTTATTTAATGAGGGTCTTTGGAATGGGGGTTTGATTAGGTTTGGGAAGGGAACAAGGTAATGTGAATGGACAAAGTAGGATTGCCAAGTCATGTTATATGGACAGAAAGGTGTGGTTTCCATTCTGAATGTCTAGCCTGAGTGTGGCTATAAATGGATTTTGCATCCAGCATTTACTTGATACTAGTATTCTAGAAGAATTTGATGTAAGAGAAAGCAATAAGATTCAATCTTATTCATGTGAAAATGTGTTAAATCTATGCCATCTTTATTGTTTTTGACAATATAAGAGGTACAGATAACGATGCTTTACATTTGTTATTGTTGTTTGGTTAGTTCATTTTTTTCATGTGATTTTGACTACCTGTTATGCTCAACATTGTCCTAATTCCTAGGAGACATATTGCTGAATAAAGCCATTACTGCACTCTGGTTTGTTGATTTCCATCTTCAGTCAGAGCTGGTCACATATGTTATTAGTAGAGCCTTCCCACTGTTCCTTTGCAGTCATAGTTAAGTTGCTGTTAGGCACTGCCTTCAGAAGAGGAAACTGAGTGTAAAAGAGGTAAAATAACTTTTCCAAGATTATACAGCTATCAAGTCAATGCAGTAAGAGAATCTTAAGGACATTACGTTCAGGACAGAAAACTTCCATTATGCCACACTGCTTTAACAACACAGAAAGGGTGGCAAGCATGGCTAGATTGGCTCAGCACCCACAAGCAAACCCAGTTATCAGGAATCCAGCTGGAATCAGTGTAGGATTGGAACCTGGCTAAATTATTTACACATTGATAGCTTTGGGATTCTTCTCTAGAAATAGTGGTGATAGCTAAATAATAAGGTCATTGCAAAGATTACGCCACATGATCTATCCAAAACATTTAGCCCGGTTTTGGCATATAATCAGTTTTCAAATAAATGGTACTACAAACATAATTATAAATTACTGTGGATGTCACTAATAAATATTCCATTCTGTGTATTCAATTTTATGCCAAGTGAGTGGATGTTTCAAGGTCATAATTGTGGAAGATGTTTTCAATAGCGTTGAGTGTGTCTATATTATTGTGTGTCTATTGCATTAGGGAAAAAGAAGAACAATATGAGATTTTGATATTTGTTGGGGAATTAATTAAAAATAAAGTTTTCTACCAACCTAGAAATCCTCTTCACAAGTGTAGGAAAATTATACTTGAATAAGCATTAAACCAGACTGTGATATACATCTTAAGAAATCGACTTAAGAGACTGCAAAAATAGAAAGGCATCTCACTCTTTTATATAGCTAGGCAAATACAATCACTTGCATATGTGTTAATTGTCTTAATATAAAGGAAAAATAAAACTTCTTGTATCTTTGCAACAAGCAAGAAGTTACAACTTCCAGCCAGATACCTAGACTAACCTCCCAAAAAGACAGAGAGACAGGATGCTTTATGCTCGCATTTCAGAAAGATAGCCCAAAGGCTTCCAAGAAAGACTTCACTGAGATACAAAACTGGCTAGAGATTATTCAGGTTTTCAAAAGGTTTGCATCCCTCTGAAAGCGACATAAAAAGGATTTACAATCGTGCGTTTTCTAAAGGAAATGCTCCAGGAAAAAGAAGGGGAAGAAGGGAGTTTTCTTCTCTTTTGGCATCAGGGAAATTCATTTATTTTTAAGATTTGTATTTACCCTTACATATACTAGATATTTCCTTAAAAGAGTAAAGGAATTCAGTATATTCTCTAATTATTAAGGAGTAGAGGGGCTTGGGTACTTGGAATTGAAACCAGTTGGTTTGGAGGTTATAAAGCCATAGAAAATTCTTTTCAATTCAGTTATTACCATTTTATCCATTGAAATAGGGATGCTGTCACATAGAAACTTTTTAGACTTTAGTGCTGTTATGGCTTAAATTGTATTCCTCCCCCCAAAAAAGATGTGTTGGAGTCCTAGCCTCTAGTACCTCTGAATGTGATCTTATTTGAAGATAGGGTTTTTATAGAGGTAATTAGATTAAAGAAGGCCATTGATGTGGGCCCTAATCCAATACAACTGGTGTTCTTATAAAGACGGTAAATTTGGATACAGAAATAGACACAGATATAAAGGGACCACAATGTGAAGAGAAACAGGGAGAAGACAGCCATCCATGAGCCAAGGAAAGCAGCCTGGAACAAATCCTTTGCTTACAGCCCTCAGAAGCAACCAATGCTGCTGACACCTTGATTTCAGATTTCTAGCCTCCAGAACTCTGACACAATAAATTTCTGCTGTTCAAACTACCCAGTCTGTGGTACTTTATTATGGCAGCCCTAATAAACTAACATATATGCCATCAATGATATAGTAACTGTTCATTTCCAATCAGTGCTTTTTATCTGATACAAATACAGCTAACGTAGTAAATGATCTTTCTGTATTTGTAGTCTGGATACAAGGAGATATTTTTAGGCTTGAGAAATTGATCTTTATTTCTAGTATTGAATAATATTCCAAAGTTATTATTGGCTGAGGAATAGGTAGATTTTTAATCTTTCAAACATATTTATGAATATCCTTTTATTCTATCTATAATTAGATGCATTTTCTCCTTCACAGATAAAGATCAAGGTTTTGAATTAGAAACAAACAACAGCTCGGCTGCCTGACACACTTTTTTGGCACTAAGTTGTTTTCATTTAAGCTTAAGAAGTGCTAGAATTTGTTAGAACGAGTGTGGGAGATTAGATTGCATTGACCCTGGCTGCTTTACGTGTATGATGATTACATTTGGGTGGTTTCCTGGTAGACCTTGAATTCTAATAGAACACTGGTTGCCACTGGTAATGGAAGTGATAATCTGTAAGAACTCTCTGGAAGAGACCACTCACTGAAGAATATCCACAATAATAAATTTCATTAGGAAAAGGAGAGAACTGAGGGCACAGAACGATCACTGGTCTGTGACAATGATGTGAGCAATGAATGAATGATTGTTGAGGACCCCTGTCTGTTCTTGTGAAAAGGAAATTCCTTGATTATTCCTTGATTATTTTTTAGGATTTGCTGTCTCGAGGAATTCCCTTGTCTGTTGTTTTATGTGACCTTTGTCTCACTTCAAGCTTCTTCCTGAGCTGTTTTTAATCCACATCACTTTGGGAGTACATACTTCTTGCAGCCTGTGTGAATTTTTATCCTGCTTATTGCTTATGCAAGTTTGAAAAAAATCTAAAAATTTTTAAGCTTATGAAAGCATTTTTCCCCCAAACTTTTAAAGTCTAAAGATTTCTTAGAGGAGTCTGCTAATTTCTTTCAAAACTTGATAAACTTCTAGTATACTTACTTCCATAAATTTTTATGACCAGATGATCCCCAAAGTTCGTTCTTAAATATAGTTTTTAAGTTCCTTATTTGTTTGCCTTCTCAACCCATGTATCTGTCTATCTCTTTGGAAGCTACCTTGAGGTTATCGAGAAAATAGTGCTGGGTTGGACTTTGTTGTTCAATGCCTTGTTTCAGTTTTCTCTCCTGTTGGCATTTAGAAGTGCACAATTTTTAAATAGTAGAGGCTCCTAATCTCTGAGCTCCCTGTTTATTTTTAGTCTCTACTTGAAATTAATTCTTGCTTGAGCTACTGTCTTTCTTGAAATGTACAATGAAAGGCAGCAAATAACCGTATATACACACCAATAGTAAACAGATGGAAGTTTTTATGGATCAGGTCTGGGAGTGACACATAGACTTCCACTAATATGCCATTGGCTAGAACTCAAATCATTTGGCCACAACTAACTTCAAGGGGGACTAGGAAATGTAGTCAAGTCATATGCCTATGAAGAATAGGGCGATGGATTTTGGTAGACAGTCCACATTCTCTGTCACGTGCAATATACCACAGATGTATGAAATTTGTCAAAACATTTTCCGAACATCTGAACTTTAGCTTGTATTTTCCCTTTGTTGTTGTCCACTTTTGTTCTTGAGTTGTTTTGTTTTATATTATCCTTTTTTGTCTTGGATATTCCCATCACCACCATTGTTTTCCCAAAAGTACTTCCCATGTTTGGTCATTAGTTATGTTGGGTCATTGACCCAACCCTTGGAATTTATGAGTAATAGGAGTATCTTTTGTTATTCATATCTTTCGACCATACCTGATTTTATGCTAAGGAAGCAACTCATAGAGGATCCTCTGGGTAGCTTCAGGATGAGAGCCAGAAAAAGTAACCACGTGATTAGAATATTGAAACTTTAACGTCTTCATCACCTTTCAAACCTCCAAGGACAGCAGAGGGGCTGGACGTTGAGTTTAATCATGTGGCCAATGATTTAATTAATCATGTCTACAGAATGAAACTGATAAAAACTCTGAAAAAAAAAGACGGAGAGCTCCCTGGTAGGTGAACATAATGATGTACCAGGAAAGTGGTGCGTCCTGACTTCATGGAGACAGAAGCTACTGTGCTCAGGATTCTTTCAGACTTGCCCTATGTACCTTTTATCTGCCATTTTTTTCATTCTTTATAATAAAATGATAATCATTAAGTATAGCATTTTCATGAGTTCTGTGAACATTCTAGCAAATTATCAAAACTGAGGGAGTTGTGGGAAGCCCCAAATTTATAGCAGGCTGGACAGAAGTACAGTTGTCTTGGAGACATCTGGGACTTGTGGCTGGTGTCTGAAATGGGAGTCGTCTTGTGGGAGTGAGCCCCTTAACCTGTGGGGTCTGCGCCAACTCTGGGTAGTGTCATAATTGAATTGAATTGTAGGACATCCAGTTGGTGTCAAAGAATCGGTGTCAGAATGCAAAGAGTCATGTCTGTAAATCATATCACTTTGTAGTCGATGATAGAGCAAAATGTTAAAAATTGGAGATTGCATCTGGGAGAAATAAGTGAGACTATCAGATTTATTTTTTAATATATTCACTGTGTAATCAAGTGGCAAATTTTATATATTCTCAGTTTAAATTCAAACCAATAAATATTTACTGAGCACCTGTTATGAGGCAAATACCTTGCTCAGTGCTAGAGGTTACCAACAGAATAAATACATGGAATTTATAACTTGATGGGAGGCATAGATATATAGGAACAAACAAAAACACTTGACCTTACTTTTTTTTTTCTGTCCAAACAAGTTGGACTACCTTTTATTCATAATTGAAGCATTAGAATGGCTGAATGGGAGTTTGGTGCTATCTGCCTACACTGGATTTGATTCATTAGGAAATTTTTTTATCCTGTTTTTAAGAAAATATTTACCTTTTCCCAAGGCTGTCCAGAAAGAATTTGAAGAGAATATTGATATTAGTTTCTATTTCCTTTAAATATGGAAAAGCATTACCTGATCCACTCTAGAGGAGTGATAAAATGTTATTTATGTCGATAATTATTTTAATATGTAAATTTATCTCTTAAGAATGTGCATAGTATTATGATTTCATAAATATGTCCAAAGTTGCCATAGGCTGAATGCTTGTGTCCCTCCCTAAAATTCATATATTGAAACCTAGGCCCTGATGTGATGGTGTGGGCCTTTGGGAGGGAGTAGGTCATGAGGGTGGAGCCCTCATGAGTGGGATTAGTGCTTTTATAAAAGAGACCCCAAAGAGCTCCTCCACCATGTGAGGACCCAGGGAGAAGATGACTGTCTATGAACCAGTGTGGGGCTCGATCCCCTGACCCTGAGATCATGACCTGAGCCAAAATCAAGAGTTGGACACCTAACTGACTGAGCCACCCAGGTGCCCCCTTAATTAGTATTTTAGGAGCAAAACATATGCAACAATCCTTTGGAAGTAGTCTGAAAACCAAAAAATAGTCTAGACTCAGCAATGAGTCATTCATTTGAACTCCTGTTAATTTTTCAAAATTATGGCCTAATTTTCATCGACAGCCCTTCATGTCATAAAACTTCCACAAGAAATGTATGCACCCTTTGTTTATCTTCCAAGGACTCGGGTATATTTAGATATTACCCTTAAACTCATAGGCTTCCTTACTTAAAACTAGTCTCTTGAATGATGCTTTTATTCTTAATGAAGGTAAAGCAAACTCTTTTTTCAAGTACCCCTCAAAACATCACGTCTCCACTGATAACCTAGTCAAACAGAGTGGATTTTCTCCTTTAATTATTATGTCAAGGTTATTTTCTAACCTTGTCTGTTCCAAAATTTCCCCCAATGGGGACTGCCAACTGCTCTGCAGACAGTTTAGTTGGTTCTAATTCTTCATCTCTTTTCAGCGAGGTACCAGAATTTCACAAGCTGTCTTGTTTTTCAGGCCTTCCTTCATCATGGGGACTATTGTTGATTTAGCCTGTTTTAGTAATTTTTTAAAATTATAGTTGTGTTTTATGAGTTACAACTTTTGAACATCATTAAATAGTACAGAACTTACCTTTATTTTTGAAAAGTAAATACACATAGTTTATTTCATAGTTTTATAAAAGCACAAAAAAGAACAGTGGTTGTTTTCTCCAAACTGAAGTTAATAAAAATGTAAATATTTTAAATCTCTTATTCTATAAAAAAGCAAAAATAATAAGATCATGCATATGGAATGCATGATTGCTTCCTATTTGGCAAACTTGTCTCTTAAGGTTCAACTATGATGTCATTTCATGTATGACACTATCTGCATCCTCCTTAGGCTTCCTTAATACTTGGACTTCTGCAGGCTCATATCACATGGTTTTGTAGATGCTTGATTTTAAGTCTGTCTTCTAAGCAAAACTGAATACCTGCAAAACTGGAATCTTCTGTTAATTACCTCGGCATCCTACCAACCTAGTTCAGTGCTTGATATATAACAGTTCATGGATAAGTGTTTCTTGATTACACAGTTTCATTTTTTTCTGAATCCATGGGAATATTCTGTAACCGAAACTTACTTCTATTTTTTTCTTAATTTAACACACATTGTAAATGTGTTTTTGGTTTACTGTGTTATTTCTAATATGAGTTACTGTTTAAACAAGATGTGCGCTAACAGATCCCTTGACTCATTTCTAACTATGTATCTCATCGTCCAAAGTGGAAATCAAGAGCCTGACCATGCAATTAGGTGATACAGATAAATAAAGTGAATCATATGTAAGAAAGGATGAATCTCATAAGAAGCAGATGCTTTCAATTCTGGCCAGTTGTTGACATGACCTATGATATCAGATTTTCCAAATTTAAAAGGAATCAGAAATTTAGGCTTTTATGTTAAATGTTGGAACTTTAGACCTCATTAAATATATGCGGGCCAAATGAAATTCATCTATAGTTACAATCTGGATTATCTATTGCCAAAGTATAAAACTTCTAGCTTGTATGTTGCTTTTGCGATACAGAGAGGTAGATAAATGATTTTGTCACAATATCACATGGAATGGACAGTAAGACTAAGTATTAGTCATCTCCAATTCTTTTTTTTCCCACATATAATAATGGCATTTATAAAGTGCAGTTTAAGAAATTAATCCAACTTCTTCATCATCTAGAAGTAAAGAAAGAAATTGTGGAATGTATTCTCATCAGGATGAAATGAGTCACTTGAGCTCTTACTTTTTAATGTAACTTTAAAACTAGTAGGTCTTGAAAATAGTGTTTGTAAGATCTTTGGTGTTTTTTCTCTACTGTAAGGAAAGTTAGTAATAAAAAAAGGAGAGTAAATCACAAATGCAGAATTATTCACACAAGCAGAAGAGCAGCATCCTTGGCTGTGAAAGGGTTTTCTGAGGGTGTGAAGCATACTAGACATTTAGAGAGTGGGGTGGACTTACAGAACTGATAATAAGAACAGTGAATTCTCCAAGATGAGAATGTTATCCATACTGACATGAAACCTGAATCTGGGGAAAGAATTTTAGTATTTCACCAGACAACCAATCTGACTCAACAACAGTCCATGCAAGGAGGAACAGAGAAGTCATCTACAAACAACCTACATGTACTGTTCAAACGAAGCATTCCTGACACCTAGGCTCCTAAATTAAAGACTATACTATGATATAATGGAAACAGACAAAAATGGGGGCACCACTTGCTTATTTTACCCTTTCTTCTCTCCCTACAATCTCAAGTGAGGGTATTCTTATAGTCTAGACAGTCTTCTCAACCACATCGATGTGATAGATGTGGTGGAATAACTCTTGCTACTTGGAAGGGCTGAGTCTGTGTCCCAACCTCATCTGTTTGTCCAGGGGATGTCTAGAGGTCAAGTCACCCTCGTGCCTTCACAACAAGCAACAAGAGTAGCCCTCTTTCGTTCCTTGAGTAATACTCCATGGCACACAGTTTTAAAATCTGGGTATGGGAAGCTTTCCTTCTCTTGAGGACCCTCCAAATTTGCAACATTGGAAACAGGAGGTTCCTTGCATTGCCTCAAAGAACAAGGAGTGATTTTTTTATTTGCTTAGCTGTATCTATCTTTCCAAGTAAAGCTGGCAACAAATAAAACCAGCATTTTTGAGATTACTGTTTGCTAAGTACAAGATTAACTTGGATTCTTAAGAAACTCCTTACAATCTTACACAAACATTTGCTCTCATGTCTTCATTCATTAATAGAAGATAATAGCAACAGAATTTTTCAGAAGAAACTCCCACACACTGCAATATGCACACATACTGTTTTCTTTTCTTTTTCTTTTCTTTCTTTTTTTTTTGGCATTTACAGAGTTTAGTTGCAGTTGCAGTTTGGTGTGGCTGACACAACTTAAAAGGCATTTACAGAAACGAAAACTCAGATGAGAGAAAGTTGGAAGCCACTGGATGTGGTGGCTTCTACCTGCCTATTTTTGTGTCCTTACATATATTCAGAATATCCAGAATATTCAAAAGCAAAACTTCCAGGTGTTATGATATGTTATGTGGCTTTAGGCTTTGTTTGTTTTTTTACATCTTATAAATGCTTTTATTGTGTTTGTTCCTTTTATTATATTACCTCAAGTCCTTTGCAGAAATATTTATGAAGAGTAAATACTCTTAATGATGGAGAACAAACTGATGGTTACCAGAGGGGAGGTGGGTGGGGGATGGTTAAGTGGGTGATAGGGATTAAAGAGTGCACTTGTTGTGATGAGCACCGGGTGTTGTATGGAGGTGTTGAATCACTAAATTCTATACCTGAAACTAATATTGCACTATATGTTCACTAACTGGAACTTAAATAAAAACTTTATTAAAAAGAGTGAATACATGTTTAGTGTATGAGAAGATTAACCTTCCTTATAAACATTAAAGGGACATATTAAAAATACAGCTATGTATACTTACTATAATGTGTGAAGTAATGCACATTCATACCTAACAACTATATAATGAAAATATCTTCTTCACATGTCAGGAAAAGTTAAGCAGAAAAGCATAAAATATAGAGCCCTCACAAATTTTTCTATTTCACATTTCTGAACAGAAAGAACGAGAGAAAGGTTCTAATTTGGCCTTTATGTTTCGACTGCCTTTTGCTGCTGGGAGGGTGTTTAGCATCAGTATGTTGGACACTCTTCTCTATCAGGTATGCAGTGTTTCTTTTTTTCTCTCTAAAATATTTATTCTAATTTAATTTAAATTTTATTAAATGAATAATACATCTAGTGTTTCTCATGGAGCTGTTAACTTATAATGGGCCCTGGAAGTAATTCAGTGTTTCATTTGTGTATTTAATGACAAATGTGCCTATGAAACATTGTGTAAGGAAATTTTTCAGAATAATCAAAGATTATTTTTCAGAGTAATCTATGAAATAATTTCTAGGCATTCTTTAGCATCAGTGTCCTACAGTGTTTTTTGTGACATTTTAATATATTTTGCTTATTACTGTAAGCATGTTACCAGAGTAAACAAAGAAGGTAAGAACAAAAAGACTATATTAAAAAAAAGACAACCTTCTTCATAATGCACTTCATAATGCACATTTTTAAAAAAATAAGACATCAAAATGATGTCAATAAACTGATAAATCAAGGATATTTTAAATATGCACTAATTACCACCTACTTTAGAAAAAATATAAAAAGATTTTGCAACAACTAAGAACCATTTAGTTTGTTCCTGAATGCCAAACTTAAATTAAATAAATAAATAAATGAAATTGTCATTTGATCATAGCTAAGAAATTTATGGAGATATTATTTTGCACCAATATATTTTAATCTTTTTTTTAACACTACCAGATACTGAATAGCACTAATATTTCATATTCTCTGATTCAAGTAATCAGACAATTTATAAGTATTTCTATTAAGAGAAAACAGATATTCATGGAGTTTTAATTATTTGGTAATTTTAATCTCAAATTAAGCATTTGAACATTTTGTTGTGCTATTTTCTTTTTGATTATGTATTTTATGCACCCTCTTCTGCAATGCTTGGCTGAATAAACTAATCTGGAGATGGCTAAAGCTTTTCTACTGGCCTTTGGGCTAATTATGCCCAGGAATATGCCTCTAGCAATGTCACAAACCATCTGCTTATGCCAGATGAGTGCAGGAACAAATGCAGCAAAGGAGAATAAACACTCCTGTTCACCCTAAACTTTCCAGACACATTATTTGGGCACTTCAAGAGGGGGGCTTCCACCCCACACACCATTACCACACACATACTTCTGATCTCTTAGAGGGGGGATTGGAGGGGAGGAATTGTTTGAAGAACGATGCTGAAACTGAAGATTTTACGTCAATAGCAGTCAACTGCTTGATGTCATTATGCACCAGTGGTTTTCAGATTTTTTAGCCCTGGTATCTTATGTTTAAATAAAATCTCATGAGAAAGTCTAAAAGATGGACTAAATAGAAGAGGAATTGTTCTACGGAAGTAGAACGCAATAGTTCTTTCTTTCTCTTCATTTTTACCTTATGTTATTTTGTTGTAAGTACACAAACAGGAGTTAAGTTTTTCTGAAGCTACTGCAGAAAGGGTGAAACAGAACAATAATTTTCAAAGTAGTAACTGCCTATTTAGCTTTGCCTGATGTCAGACAAGATATGTTGTGTTTCATTTTTTCAGATAGATAAAGAGTACTCATTTATTGATTAAAAATAAATATTAGAAATCAGATATATAATTCCTAAATTTATATAATAAGTATGCATATATTACTAAAACATACTAAATGCCATCTAATTTTTTGGTTAGTGATTTGAACCCATCTTCTCGAGGATAAATGTTTATATTATATGTTTAAGAACTATTATTAATGTCTACAATTGTACGATTTGCTATTAATGATCCTAGACATCATATCATTTGCTTCCTCAAAGAAACCGATGATGTAGGCAGTATCATCAATCACAATATATAGAGGAGATACAAGGGTTCAGAAAGACAAACTATCCGGTAGTTAGTGTGAACCCTCATCTTCACGCCATGCACATTTCATCCGATTCCTCACAACCCTATCCTTGTGGTAAATAATTCCACATTTGTAAAATGTTTGAGTTTCTTATGGTACTTTTCTTTTAACTTACCAGAACGTTGTTTTTCTTTATTAATATCTTGTCAATAGTCCCTTTTCTCCTTCCCACTTGAAGCACAGATCACTTTCATATTTTTAATAATTTTCTTAATTTTCATCTTCATGGAGCTGGAAAACCAATGATTAAAAAATAAGTATTATCTGAGGAGCGGTAGAGGGGAAGAAAAAAAAATATTATCTAAAATACAATTAAATAGGGGGTGCCTGGGTGTCTGCCTTGGGCTCAGATCATGATCTCAGGGTCCTGGGATCAAGCCCCACAGGGGGCTCCCTGCTCAGCTGGGAGCCTGTTTCTCCCTCTCCCTCTGCCCCTCCCCCTGCTGTCTCCTCTCTCTCTCTCAAATAAATAAATAAAATCTTGAAAATAAAATAAAATACAATTAAATAGATGCTAAGTGAAACTGAGAAAGATTCTTCTGTGATGAAATTCCATGATCTCATGAGATTGAGTGCACGGGTGGGGCTGTCCTTGTCTTTTTGGCTCACTCCTAACATCTTGTCTTTGCCCTAATGAAGTTACAAGATAAATGACCTCTAGACAAGGGATGCATCAGTGACAAATGCAGCAAACAAATCAGCTGTATAACCACATCCAACTCAAAAATAATTTATAATAGTCATTTGCTAAATCTTCAGTTGACTTTTTTTTCCCCATGAGAAGTTTCAATTTTTCATTTTGGAAAATAGTTTTAAGTGTCTGAGAATGTACTTAAAAATTCCTCTTCTTTAGCACACATTGGGTTACAAGTGAAGTTGAAAAGTGCCTGTCACCACTCCTCTTGGTGGCCTCTGGTTAGTTCATGTTAGGACACTAACACACCTCAAAACCAAACTGCCCTTTCTTTGGCCTGAGGCAAGGGAATGGATATGGTTCCTTTGTTCTTGTTTAGAAAGCAAGGTTTAGTTTTCTGATGCTAGCTGTTGGTAAAATAGTAATGAACAAAGGAGCCTAGTAAATTTATTTAAAAGGTATTAAAAAAATCATTGCGATGCAAAATAACTAGATGAGTATTTAAATTTTTCATTTGTTTAACACTTGAAGATTAAATTCAAGACAGTCATTTCGTACAATCTATGAAATAATTATTACATGTTATGGTGAAGTGTGCTTGTATCTGTTGAAAGTTTTTCTTTTCACTCAGAACTAAGAATAAATTCAAGAAATTGAAAGCATTGTTAACTTAATACTCTGTTGAGTAGTGTTCTAGCAATATATCAAAATATATCTTATATGCTAGCACATCAAATAGTCTGATAATGATATTTAATACTAAATTATTAATTCATTAATATTTAGATTTACTGAAATATTAGAAATTTATTCTACTAGCAAAGAGCTTAATCCTAAAAAACCTTTTGGAATATCTCCTTGCAAATTTCAGTTTTCAAGTTTTTTTTTTATATTCTCTATTTTAGCTCATAGTTTTTTGTTATTAAAAAATCTAATTAAAATCTGTTTTATCATGGGGCATCTGAGTGGCTCAGTTGGTTAAGCAACTGCCTTCGGCTCAGGTCATGATTCTGGAGTCCCTGGATCAAGTCCCACATCGGGCTCCCTGCTCAGCAGGGAGTCTGCTTCTCCCTCTGACCTTCCCCCCCTCTCATGCTCTCTCTCTTTCATTCTCTCTCAAATAAATAAATAAATCTGTTTTATCATGTCTAATAGTACATAAAACTTAAGCATGTCAGGATATTCTAGTGAATAGTTATTCCCCATATTTCTTTGTGGACAGTTTACTTGTACCTGTGTATTTAAGACACTGAGAAGATAGATTTTTACTCCCTTTTTTTGTGGGGGTTTAAAGATGTGTATGGGAAGTAACCTTTTAGAAATGGTAAGATGTTCTCACTGAGCTATTCTGTACATTTCATACACATAATAAATACATATGTTGTTTATATTGCAGTCATTTGTAAAGGATTATATGATTTCTATCACCAGACTTCTGTTGGGATTGGACACTACTCCGGGATCAGGGTTTCTTTGTTCTGTAAGTTAATATTTGCTGGAATAGAAGATTGCTCTAATAGATGTTTCTGGAATCCATCTATAATGTACTTTGGCTAATATGTGCTCTAAGAATATCTTCACAGTTTTTTAGTTTTTTAAAAAATTTTCAGAGAAAACATTATTTTAAATTAATCATGAAAACAGCCATTCTATACAAAATTCAGAACAAGTGTTTTTTTTCTAGCTGGCATTTGATACTGATGGTTTCTGACATAGGATGCCCTACTGTTGAGGAAAACAGTGACCATTAAGTTTAATCCCACCCCCTTTGTTTTTTATAAATGAATATACTTTATCCAAGTGTATTCAATGAAGCGACTTGCCAACATTTCACATTTATGATAAGCAAAGGGGGACTAGTACTTATGCCTCTGTCTGGGAGCCCTAGGCTCATTTTGTTACACCCCTTTCTCAATATGAGCATTATTAGGACTTTAGATGGACAATTTCTTTTTGTGCTGGAGTGTCTTTTGCATCTGAAAATTTGTAGCATCAGCAGACTCTGTCTGCTAAATTCCAGTAGAAGCTTGTAGTCATTGCAACATTCAAAAAAGTCTACAGCTGTTTTCCAACATCTCCCGATTACGAGTGACTACTACTGTCTACCGATATTGAACTAGCACAGTGTTGTGCTGCCACAAATTCAGTAGTTGGTCTTCTGAAGTTTGTGGAACCCCTGGGATAAGCTAAGGTAGAATGCCATAAATAAGTTCAGTACATGCATAAGCACTTAGGAAAAGTCACTTTGAGATTTCAAAACATTCATACAGTTAGCCTTTAAAAAATGAAAAATAACCCCTGAGGTTTTTTTTTTAATAACTCGTATATCTTATAGATGAAAATCACTGAGGATGACCTGTGGATCCGAACTTATGCCAGACTTTACCAGAAGCTGTGCTCCTCTACCGGAGACGTTCCCATTGGAATCTACAGGACTGAATCTCAGAAACTTGCTACATCTGAGGTTTGGAAATACCAAAATACTCCAGTCTTAATGATTAATCTGATTGAATATAGCCATTCCTAATCTTGGAAATGGATTATTTCTAAAAAAAGTCAGAAAGTGAAAAAGAATGCTCTCTGAACACACTGTGTCAGTTCTCAGGGGGCAAAAAATTTAACTATTTGTTGAAGTAAACTATATCAGAATTCCCTAAAATGTTGTTGGCTAAGGGACTCTTCTAGAGTTTGTGAACTTTGGGCTCTGAATGCCTTCTGTAGGTCTAAGATTTTGCATGTCTAGATTATCAGGAAGCAAATTAATTTTAAGTAACCTTCTGACATGTAAGAGCAGTTTTCAGGGCAAGCCATATAGCTTTTTAATATACTCCTCATTTCACATATACATATTTGGAAGGAAGTTAAACAAAGTTAGTAAGCATTGAAATTCACACTTCTCAAACTCTAGATTAAAGACTACTCTGAAGCCAAGGTAAAACTCCAGGAGTAGTACCAGACCTTTCCAGAGGAAAGCTAAGTATTTTTAAAAGCAAACTAGAATCTGTTAATATGGAACAAAATTTCCAATGGCTTCATACAGCTAAAAACATCCACACTGATCTGGCCACAGTATGTGGTTCTAAATAGTTTTTTTATCCTTGGTAAAAACATCACCTTTTAAATTAGATTCTTTTATGAAATAAAAATTTTGGATAAATACACTATCCTACCAATATTTATAAAATTGTTTACTATAAATTATGGTTTGTATTCTTGAAATATTTTTCTTCTCAAATATCTTAAAGTTATTCAAAAATTTGGTTAGCCATATCTATTTTTGTCTTATGCAAAGTTAACTAAGAGGCTCAGATCTGTTATTTGCATTTTAGTAGTCCATGCAACCATTAAACTCTTTTATATTAAAATCACTGAATCCATATATAGCAAAAAAGAGCTTTATAGAAAGCATATGAGCAAAGGACTGGATTTTTGTTTACTTGCTAAATTTTATGGTTTGACATTTAAATAAGTAATATTGAGGACAGCAGGAAATTGTTCAGTTTTTCTGAGGATGCTTTCTAGCACTTTCACTGTAGTTCAGGCATGCTAAAAGGAACTTTATTGCCATCTCTGCTACTTTGTAGGATAGTTTGGCTAGATATGCCTAAAATTTTAAGAATACTGTGTCTAAAAATTTATTATTTGATTAAAGGTTAAGAGAAGACAAGTGCTTTCACACCTAAGCAATTAACCACTTCTTATTTGAGCTTGTTAAGTACAAAGAAAGTTTCCATTTACCAGAGTATTATTATGCTCTTATCTTATATATAGGATTTGTGAATTTGAACATAGTAAATTCTGCCCTTGGTCAAGTTAATATTCATGTCATCAATTTATATTTTTAAGGGACTTTGTTGTGTGCTGTTTACATTATAGTAGGGAGAGGATAATTGATGGCAATAATTGTGTTGCCATCATGGAGCATTTAACATTACATTTTGGTCAGTTCTTCCCATCACATAAAAAGATCTTTCAATAAAATGCTTATAAATCTCCAAAACTCTAGCTTGTAAAAAACACACATCCTTGGGAAGATAAAAGGAAACTAAGTTAAATAAAGATAACTTCTGTCTTCCTATATTGAATTCAATTCATCTTTTGGCACATATATTTTTACTTAAATTTTATATTCTGCCTATTGTGTAAAAATTGAGGCAACCTAAATAATTAAAGATAAAAATAAAACCATCAAGATTTTTTACAACACAATATATTAATAGAGACAGAGAAATTAATGTTATCATACATCTAAAATAAACTTAGTGCTACAGTTGAGCCAGAGTTTTACTTTTACTTTCCTGGTAAGTAAGGCAAAAATAGAACTGTTGAATTACATAGTAATTATAGTCTGATACATGAAAGGATAAAAGTTAACCTTGAGAAAGATTTGTTATTAAAAGAACACGTATATTATAGGTTTTCTTATTTAAAAGGTTTTAGATAACATGAACAGTATCTATCTTCAATCATAGTTTTACAAGATACAAAAGTGCCATTAAAGTGAATATCCTTTAAGTTAATCTTTTATTTTTTTTTAAAAAAAGGATATCAATTAAATAATAACTCAAAGACATTGGATTTTGTATGAAGAGGAAAACTTTTTTTCTGATCATATAAAAATAAAGAATAAGACCTTAAAGTCTCTCATGAGATGAAAGATTGGCTCATACATTCCACCACCTTTCTCAAATATCAGATGGTTCAAGAAAAGTCAAGCGTTAGAATTCAGATGATTTATCTTTGCCCCACATGCCAATTTTCTCTTACTTTAATTAAAGAAAGACACCTGATTCCAGGAGATAGAAACTTCATTTAATAATTAGAATTGAAGAGTCTAACATATTCTTGCATAAATAGCTGTCAGATTCCCATTCCCCCTCACAGTTCACACAGCTGTAGCATGCAGGCAAAGATTGAAGGTTTGTTTCTATGGCGAGACGACACAGATACTCTGTGGATTGAAGGGACAGTTGAGGGCAATAATACCACACTAAATTCAGAGAGCTAAGTGAAAGGTATATTCTGTATACTGTACCCTTAAGCAGCAGATTAGTGATCTTCTCTAGGGAATCTGACCAATCCAAGTGAAATGCCTAAAAATGTAGACATGGGACATTCAGTAATCCGGTGGTCACCATGAAACTCAATAAAAAGAATCTCACCCAGAGCTTTCAATAAATTTTATTAGTCCCCTACTTTTAAGTAGGAGAAGACAACTAAAAATTCCTTATGTTGGGAAATAGAATGAAACGCAAAGGTACAAAATAAACAGGAGGAAAAAACATGTAAGAAGGTCAGATCATTGAGGAAGAAGACAATTTCAAAACATGAAATAAAGTATTTACCCAAGAGAAATAAAAATTTATCCACCCAAAGATTTGTATACAAATGTTCTTGGCATCATTGTTTATAAGAGCCAAAATTTGGAAACAACCTAAATGTCCATCAACTAGTAAACAGATAAGCAAAACGTGGTATATACATACAATGGAATACTGTTTATCCATAGAAAGAAACTACTTATATGTGCTATTACTTGGATGAACGTCAAAAATACTAAGTTCAATGAAAGAAAGCAAATACAAATTGTATGATTTCATGTTTATGAAATGTCATAAAAAGTAAATGTATGCAGACAGGAAGCAGATTAGTGATTGCCTAAGTCAGGGGGAGGTGGAGGAAATGGGAAACCAGTTAATGAACATGATGGGGTTTATTGGGGTATTGGAAATATTCTAAAACTGATTTATGGTGATGATTATGCAACTTGGTAAATTTACTAAATATCTCTGATTTTATATTTGAAAATTATAAATGTCAAATATGTATCAGTAAAATTATATATTGGAAAGCTAGAATTAATATTATTAGAAAAATAAGATATTACTGGGACACCTGGGTGGCTCAGTTGGTTAAGTGACTGCCTTCAGCTCGGATCATGATCCCAGGGTCCTGGGATCGAGCCCCACGTCGGGCTTCTTGCTCAACAGGGAGCCTGCTTCTCCCTCTCCCTCTGCCTGCTATGCCACTGGCTTGTGCTCTCTCTCTCTGTCGGGTAAATAAATAAAATCTTTAAAAAAAATAAAAAGAAAAAGAAGATATTGCAAAGATGAAAGACAAACAGGAAACTGAATTTTTATCTTTTTTTTTTTTTTTGAGAGATAGGGAGGAGATGGGAGGGGCAGAGGGGGAGATAGAATCCCAAGCAGGCTCTATGCCCAATGCAGAGCCCCATGCAGAGCTCCATCTCACCGCCCTGAGATCATGACCTGAGCCAAAATCAAGTCAGATGCTCCACCAACTGAGCCACCCAGGTGCCCCAGGAAACTAAGGGAACATTCAGGAAAAAGAAAACCTTGGGAATTGAAAATATGATAGCAGAGGTAAAAAAAGTTCATATCATAAAGTTGAGGAAATCACCAAGAAACTGGAGCAAAAATTCAAACATGGAAACAGTAAAGAAAAGTTAAGATTAGAGGACTAGTCCAGGAGGTCTAAGATCTGAATGATAACACTTCCATACAGAAGGAATGCAGTAAGATATCAGTGTCATAATTTAAGAATAATCCCAGAATAGTAGTGTGTTAATTTCCAAATGGGAAGGGACACCAAATGCCCAGTGTAATGAATTAAAATAGACTCACATCAAGACACAGCATCATATTTCAGAATATTGAAGGAGAAGGTGCAGGAGGAGAGCAAGGGGTAGGTCACATGCAAAATATATTTGAGATTTTTCAACAGCAACACTCCAGGCCAAAAGACAATGGAACAATTCCCTCAAGATCTTGAGGGAATATTTCCAAACGAGAATTCTAAATTCAGCCAAACCTATCAAACTTGTGTAAGAGTAGGATAAATCATATTTCAACATTGTCTCCAAAAACATTCTACCATGCCTGCTTCCTAAAGAAACCACTCCCACCAAAAGGAATGAATACACTGAGAAAAGAATCATGGTATGGAGGAAACCAGACATTTTATGGAATCCAGGCAACAAATATGAAGCCAAGGAAATCCCCGGGATGGCAGTGAAAAGACGATCAGACCTGAGGGAACCTGGAATGGGTTAGAGAATTTCAGAGAGATTTCTTCAGGAAGATGAAATCTATAGGATATCTTACATATCTCAATGTCTTAAAGAAAGATTAAACAATTGCCAGAGATCTCAGGGTGAATTACGTACATTTATAATTAAGCAGTCATAAAAATAACAAAGTCGTTAACTTTAGGAATATATTATCACCACCACCAACAAAAAAATGTGTGCAGGAAATTAATAGTAACAATGTTTCCTATATAGCTCATCTGTAAATTGCACTTAGTCATAATATGCCCTCAATTTTGATCTAACCAGAATTACACTTGAACAATTTTGAAATGATGAGAGATGGCAAAGTTACTGGAATAGGCGGAAAAGATTAATTTCTTCTCTTCCAGAGTGTGAAGTGAATAGATGAAAGC